GTGGGATGGATAGGTGGTAGGTGGGATGGACAGGTGGGTGTGTGGGATGGATAGATGGTGGGTGGGATGGACAGGTAGGTGTGAAGGACATGTGGGTGGGTGGGATGGATAAATGGTGGGTGTGATGGACAGGTGGGTGGGTGGGATGGATAGATGTTGGGTGGGATGGACAGGTGGGTGGGTAGGATGGATAGATGGTGGGTGGGATGGATAGATCACGGGTGAGAACAACTGGTGGATGGGTGGGATGCATTGGTAAGTGGGTGGGATAGATATAAAATGGGTGGGATGGACAGGTGGGTTATGGGATAGACGGGTGGGAGGGATGGACAGGTGAGTGGGTGGGATGGATAGGTGAGTAGGTGGGATGGACAGGTGGGTAGGTGGGATGGATAGATGGTGGGTGGGATGGACAGCTGGGTGGGTGGCATGGATAGATGATGGGTGGGAACGACTGGTGGATGGGTGGGATGCATAGGTAAATGGGTGGTATAGAGAGTTAGGATGGACAGGTAGGTGGGTGAAATAGACGGGTGGGAGGGATGGACAGGTGAGTGGATGGGATGGACAGGTGAGTGGGTGCGATGGATGGGTGGGTGGGATGGAAAGGTGGGTGGGTGGGATGGATAGATGGTGGGTGGGATGGACAGCTGAGTGGGTGGGATGGATAGATGGTGGGTGAGATGGACAGGTGGGTGGGTCGAATGGATAGATGGTGGGTGGGATGAATGGATAGATGGTGGGTGGGATGTATAGGTTGGTGGGTGGGATGGACAGGTGGGTGGGTGGGATGGATAAGTGGGTGGGTGGATGGACAGTTGGGTGGGTGAGATGGACAGGTGGGTGGTTGAGATGGACAGGTGGGTGGGTGGGATGGATTGGTGGGTGGGCGGGATGGACTGGTGGGTGTGTCGGATGGATAGATGGTGGGTGGGATGGACAGGTGGGTGGGTGGGATGGACTAGTGAGTGGGTGGGATGGACAGGTGTGTGGGTGGGATAGACAGGTGGGTGGGTGGGATGGATAGATGGTGCGTGGGATGGACAGGTGGGTGGGTGGGATGAATAGATGGTGAGTGGGATGGACAGGTGGGTGGGTCGGATTGATAGATGATTCGTGGAAACGACGGATGGCTGGGATGCATAGGTGAGTGGGTGGGATGGATAGAGTGTGGGTGGGATGGACAAGTGGGTGGGTGGGATAGACAGATTGGTGTGTGGGATGGACAGGTGAGTGGATGGGATGGACAGGTTGGTGAGTGGGATGGACAGGTGGGTGGGTGGGATGGATAGATGGTAGGTGGGATGGACAGGTGTGTAGGTGGGATCAATAGATGGTGGGTGGGATGGACAGGTGGGTGGGTGGGATGGACAGCTGGTTGGGTGGGATGGATAGATGGTGGGTGGGATGGACAGGTGGGTGGGTGGGATGGATAGATGGTGGGTGGGATGGACAGGTGGGTGGGTGGGATGGACAGGTGGGTGGGTGGGATGGATATATGATGGGTGGGAATGATAGGTGGATGGGTGGGATGCATAGGTGAGTTGGTGGGATAGTGGGTGGAATGGACAGGTGGGTGGGTGGGATAGACAGATGAATGGGAGAGATGGACAGGTGAGTGGATGGGATGGACAGTTGAGTGGGTGGGATGGATAGGTGGGTGGGATAGATAGATGGTGGGAGGGATGGACAGGTGGGTGGGTGGGATGGATAGATGGTGGGTGGGATGGACAGGTGGGTGGGTGGGATGGATAGATGGTGGGTGGGATGGATAGGTGGGTGGGTGAGATGGACAGGTGGGTGTGTGGGATGGACAGGTGGGTGTGTGGGATGGATAGATGGGTGTGATGGACAGGTAGGTGTGATGGACAAGTGGGTGGGTGGGATGGATAAATGGTGAGTGTGATGGACAGATGGGTGGGTGGGATGGATAGATGGTGGGTGGGATGGACAGGTGGGTGGGTGGGATGGATAGATGACAGGTGGGAACAACTGGTGGATGGGTGGGATGCATTGGTAAATGGGTGGGATAAATATAGAATGGGTGGGATGGACAGGTGGGTTGTGGGATAGATGGTGGGAGGGATGAACAGGTGAGTGGGTGGGATGGATAGATGGGTAGTTGGGATGGACAGGTGGGTGGGTGGGATGTATAGATGGTGGGTGTGATGGACAGGTGGGTGGGTGGCATGGATAGATGATGGGTGGGAACGACTGGTGGATGGGTGGGATGCATACGTAAGTGGGTGGGATAGAGGGTTGGTAGCATGGACAGGTGGGTGGGTGGGATAGATGGGTGGGAGGGATGGACAGGTGAGTGGATGGGATGGACCGGTGAGTGGGTGTGATGTATATGTGGGTGGGTGGGATGGACAGGTGGGTGGGTGGGATGGAATGATGGTGCGTGGGATGGACAGCCGGGTGGGTAGGATGGATAGATGGTGGGTGGGGGGGACAGGGGTTGGTGGAATGGATAGATGGTGGGTGGGATGTATAGGTTGGTGGGTGGGATGGACAGGTGGGTGGGTGGGATGGATATATGGTCGGTGGGAGGGACAGGTGGGTGGGTGTGATGGATAGACGGTGGGTGGGATGGACAGGTGGGTGGGTGGGATGGATGGTGGGTAGGATGCACAGGTGGGTGGGTGGGCTGGACAGGTGGGTGGGTGGAATGGATAGATGGTGGGTGGGATGGACAGGTGTTGTGGGTGGGATAGACAGGCGGGTGGGTGGGATGGATAGTTCTTCGGTGGGATGTACAGGTGGATGGGTGGGATGCATAGGTGAGTGAGTTGGACGGATAGAGAGTGGGTGGGATGGACAGGTGGGTGGGTGGGATGGACAAGTGAGAGGGTGGGATCGAGATGTGGGTGGTAGGATGGACAGGTGTGTGGGTGTAATGGATAGGTGGGTGGATGGGATGGATAGGTGGGTGGGTGGGATCAATAGATGGTGGGTGGGATGGACATGTGTGTGGGTGGGATGGATAGATGGTGGGTGGGATGGACAGGTGGGTTGGTGAGATGGACAGGTGGGTGGGTGTGATGGACTGGTTGGTGGGTGGGATGGATAGATGGTTGGTGGGATGGACAGGTGGGTGGGTAGGATGGACACGTGGGTGGGTGGGATGGACAGGTGGGTGGGTGGGATGGACAGGTGAGTGGGTGGGATGGACAGGTGAGTGGGTGGAATGGATAAGTGAGTGGGTGGGATAGATAAGTGAGTGGATGGGATGGATAGAGAGTGGGTGGGATGGACTGGTGGGTGGGTGGGATGGATGGTGGGTGGAATGGACAGGTGGGTGGGTGGGATGGATAGATGATGGGTGGTAACGATAGGTGGATGGGTGGGATGCATAGGTGAGTTGGTGAGATAGAGAGTGGGTGGGATGGACAGGTGGGTGGGTGGGATAGACAGGTAGCTGGGATGGACAGGTGAGTGGATGGGATGGACAGATGAGTGGTTGGCATGGATAGCTGGGTGGGTGGGTGGGATGGATAGATGGGTGGGATGGACAGTTGGGTGGGTGGAATGAATAGATGGTGGGTTCGCTGGACAGGTGGGTTGGTGGAATGGATAGATGGGTGGGATGGATAAGTGGGTGGGTGGGATGGACAGGTGGGTGTGTTGGATCGATAGATGGTGGGTGGAATGGACAGGTGGGTGGGTGGCATGTATAGGTGAGTGGGTGAGATGGATAGAGTGTGTGTGGGATGGACAAGTGGGTGTGTGGGATGGACAAGTGGGTGGGTGGGGTGGACATGTGGTTTGGTGGGATGGATAGATGGTGGGTAGGATGGATAGGTGGGTGGGTGGGATGGAGAGGTGAGTGTGTGGGATTGATAGGTGGGTGGTGGGATGGACAGGTGGGTGGGTGAAATGGATAGGTGGGTGGATGGGAGGGATAGGTGGTTGGGTGGGATGGATAGGTGGGTGGGTGGGATGCATTGGTGGGTGGGATGCATAGAGAGTGTGTGGGATGCATAGGTGGGTGGGTGGGATGGATAGATGGTGGGTGGGATGGACAGGTGGTTGGGTGGGATGGACAGGTGGGTGGGTGGGATGGACAGGTGGGTGGATGGGATGGACAGGCGGGTGAGTGGGATGGATAGATCGTGGGTGGGATGGATAGGTGGTGTGGGATGCATTTGTTGGGTGGGATGGATAGATGGTGGGTGGGATGCATAGATGGATCGGTCGGATGGAGGGATGGTGGGTTGGATGGATATGTGAGTTGGTGGGATGGATAGGTGAGTTGGTGGGATGGATAGGTGAGTGGATAGGATTGATAGGTGAGTGGGTGGATGTGCATTTAAGTGGATGATGGAATGGAAAGGTAGGTGGGTGGAGGTATATAGCCATATAGAAAAGGAGAAACAGTACAAGCTTCAGACAGACTGGCCTAATTTGGGTTTCAGGTTGGGTCCCAGGCTGGCTATTAGAACACCAAGTCTCTTAACTCTTTAAGACTTCAGTTTCTTGGCTAGGCACAGTGGCTCATGCCTGAATCCCAGCACTATAGGAGGCAGAGGCAGGAGGATCACTTAAGCCCAGAAGTTCAAGACCAACCTGGGCAACTTAGCAAAACCTCGTTTCTACTAAAAGTACAAAAATTAGGTGGGCATGATGGCACGCACCTGTAGTCCTAGCTACTTGAGAGACTGAGGTAGAAGGATTGCTTGAGCCCAGGAGGTCAAGGCTGCAGTGAGATGATCACATCACTGCAGTCCAGCCTAGGTGTGTGAGCGAGCCACCATCTCAAAAGTAAAATAAATTTTAAGAGTTATTTATGTCTAAAATAGAGCTATCATATCTATTTTTTAGAGTGGTTATGAGGATTAAGAAAATGAAGGTCTAGAATGCTACTGGCACATAGTAGGTGCTCAAGAAAGGTTGAGTATCACCACCACCCCATTGCCAACTGCTACATCTGGGAGGAGGACTTGGGCCCTGGAGGCAGCAGCAGTGGCTGGGGAGGGGCGGGCCGAGCTGGTGCTTACCCTGCCATACTGCACACTGTCCTTTCCTGTTGGCCATGGTGCCCTGTCAGGGTCATCTAGAGGAACCCCCGTCTGGGCTTCTGAAGGGGTACGGTCCTTCTCAGGGACTGACTTGATGGACCTGTTGTTTAGAGGAAATGAAGAGGAAGTCAGAGTCTCTACCAATGGTGGGGTGTATGTGCCCAACCCTAAGGCCCACTGACAGCCACTGAGCTCAGGGGACACTCTTCATTCATTCAACTAACAGAATACTGACCATATATCTACCACACACTTCCCTTCTGTGTGTGTGGTACCCAGCTAAATGCCATCTGTTACCCCAGAGTCAAGCAAGCCCATTCTTCTGATGCCACTCACAGGATGAACTTAATTTGCCCACCACTGGAACTCTGTTCTCAGAATTTTCTTATTTTTTTCTTTTTAGAGACAGGGTCTTGCTATGTTGCCCAGGTTGGTCTTAAATTCCTGAGCTCAAGCAATCCGCCCACCTCAGCCTCCCAAAGTGCTGGGATTATAGGCATGAGCTGCCTCACCCAGCATGTTCTCAAAACTTTCATTTTGGTTTAAGCTTTGGTGCAATTGTTTGGCCCCTACTGTTTACCATCAGATTTGTCCGTTCAACTAGCAGAATATAAATTATGCACAATTCAGATGCCAAAGACCTTTCGAATGTCTTATCTGTGAACGAGTGAGCTTTAACCACTGTGCTTCAGTTTCATCAGCTGTAAACATAGGGGTAAAATCTATTCATCCATCCATTTATCCATTCATCTACATATCTGTGTATCTATATACTTGTCTACCTATCTACTATTAAATTAAGTTTAGCCTAAAGCTTCCTCCTTACATATTTTAAGTTTGGCCTAAAGGTTTTCCCATTCTTAGTGAACTGTAACTTAACTGGACTCATTTACAAACAGACTGCACCCTACTTCTGTGTCAATCACTGAATTTCAGCCAATCAAAAGCAGCCAACTGTTCAAACTACGTTCAAATAAAGCAAATGTTGAGCTGCAACCAATCTGGCTGTTTCTGTACCTCACTTCTGTTTCCTGTCCTTCACTTTCCTTTTTCTGTCTGTTCACCTTTGACCACGTGGCAGTACCAGGGCCTCTCTGGACGTATTCTAGCTCAGGGGCTGCCCAATGTGTGGATAATTCTTTGCTCGATTAACCTCTGTCAGCCAGGTGACCTGGCTTATGCCCAAATCCCAGCCCTTTGGGAGGCCGAGGCAGGCGGATCACCTTAAGTCAGGAGTTCCATGCACCTTGGCCTCCCAAAGTGCTGATACTATAGGTGTGTGCCGCTGCGCCCAGCCTTAATGTGTCAAAGGGTTTTCTTTGAACATAACTACCTATCCATCTAATCTTATTTCAGATTTTTTTTTTCTTTTCTTTTTACAAACAGTTTTGCTCTTGTTGCCCAGGCTGGAGTGCAATGGCACGATCTCAGCTAACTGCAACCTCCACCACCCGGGTTCAAGCAATTCTCCTGCCTCAGTCTCCGAGTAGCTGGGATTACAGGCACACACCATCACGCCCAGCTAATTTTTTGTACTTTTAGTAGAGACAGGATTTCTTCATGTTGGTCAAGCTGGTCTCAAACTCCCAAACTCAGGTGATCCACCCCACTTGGCCTCCCAAAGTGCTGGGATTACAGGCATGAGCCACTGTGCCCGGCCTTACTTCGGATTCTTGCGCACTGTGAAAATGGTGGGATTGCTCAGTGTATGACTGAGAAGTGCCGTCAGGGTGGCTAGCTGGGACAGGGATCAGCCCCAGTGATCCCCAGGGACTGAGGCCCCTCAGGATTCCTGCTGCCCTGCACCCCTGTATAAAAGGCACTTAAGCTCGGACCACCTGGTACCAGTGGCCTGTGGTTCTGCTTCCCAAGACCCGGCTCATTAATAGGGGAGAGGATCAGACAGCCCCACAGTGAGCCCAGCTGTGTCCTGGCTGGAGGGAGCCGAGGGAAGAGGGAACCACAGGCCCCCTCCTGGACCCTTGCCTACACGTTCTGGCCAGCAGCAAGTGATGCTGCACGTACAGACCCAAGCCCTCTGCATAGCCCGCCTGTGACAGCATAAATGACCGGGCCTGGCCTGGTGGCTAACAATTATGGGGGGGATCTTTCTCTGGAACCAGCCCTGCCCTACTGCAGCGTTCAGACAACTCCAGCAAGCTGGCTCGGCCCCCTTGAAGATGTCCACCTCGCTGGAAGGTGTATGTTCATCCCATGAACTGGCCCTGTGGGGACCTAATCATCTTGGCCAACTGGACCCATTCTGGTGAATTATCCCTTGGTTGAGCACCATGGGGGGCTTCAGCAGGTGCTCCATCCATAGTGGTTTTGGTTGCCCCCTAACTGCCTGACATGCAGGTGGTCCCTTCAGCAATGTCAGCTTCAGCCTGTGCCCTTCTGAGTGTGGCACCATGGTGGACTCACCTCTCGGGTCTGAGCTCAGGCCTCCTGCCTGCAGAGGAGTCTCTGGGGTCCTTGGTGCTGGTCCAAAGTTCTGTTTCTGCAAGGTCAACAGCGTCCTGTCACACAACACGGTCCAGATACTCACTTTGACACCCACTGACTATGTGGCTTTAACTGCTCTGACCATCCATTTCCCCTGATCTGGCTCCTGCCACCTCTCCAGCAACCTCTCTCAACACCCTACTCTGAGTTCTTCCAGAAACACCATTCAGACATTCATTCACTCACTCATTCATTTCTTCAGTGTGTAACTGAGCACCTGCTACGAACTTGATGTTGGAAAAACAGCAGTGAACACCGTACAAACTCAAGTTATCTCTGTTTCCCCCCAACAGCCTTGCTCAAGCAGTTCCTTGTGTCTGGAATGCTCTTTTCTGGCTAACTCTCAACTACCCTCAGGTACCATCTACCCCAGAAATGACACTTCCCCACCATCTACCCCCCAGGTGTGGCCAGTAAATGAAGGCACAGCTGTACTAATTTAACCATAGACCTGTAAGCAAGAAATAACTGCTATTATAAGCTGCTGCTATTTGTGGGGGCTATTTGTTACACAGCATCATCACAGCAAAAGTTGACCAATACAAACAGGCAAGTTCTATTTTCAATCTTCAGGACTGTGACATTGTGAATCAACACTTAGGGTTTTTACCAGGGTGACACAGTGCTAAGCAGATATTCTCATAAGAGGCAAAGCCCGAGATTGAGGGAGACCTGGGTGTCAGTCCCTGCTTTGTCATGAAGGATAGCATGGAGCTGAAGTGATTAAAAAACACATTCTCTGGAATCAAGTTGCTTGGGTTCAAATCCCAGTGCTACCACTTATAAGCCATGTAATCTGGGACTAGTTCCTTAACTATGAGGCCTCAGTTTCCTCATCTGTGAAATGGAAATGATTCTAGTACCAGCCTCACAGGGGCATTATGTTGATTCATCGAGCTAACATGTGTGCTGTGTGGTTAGTTGCTACATTTCAGTCATTGTGGGTGAGCTTGGCTTGGCAACTTCATTTCCAGAACCTTGTCATGTATCCAGCGCACTTTGGATTCTTTGGATTATTAGATACTCTAGCTGGCATGGTGTAGCTTTCTAGGCACCAAAACCGTCTTGTGCTGTCTCCATAGCAACTGCAAGCACAGACTCTGGAGTTGCACACACTCAAGTTCTAATCTGTGACCTCAGGCAAGTGATTTAACTCTCTGTGCCTCAGTTTGCTTATCTGTAAAATGACAGCAATACCTTCACATATCTCTGGGGGTATGGTGAGAATCAAATGAAACAGTATATTTTTTACAGAAGCACTTAACACAGCCCCTGGCTCGTAGATGGTGTTATTGGCTCTTCTTGGAGAGAAGTGACCTAGTGGAGAGTCATCTGCTTCCAGGCCTAGGCCTGCAGGGAGGGTGTGACCAGAGCAATCCACTCATGCCAGTAGGACCTTTTGAGCCTCTTTCCCCCAAGAGTGGCAGGAGCCAGGCACGGAGAATCAGCAAAGCCCACCCAGTACCTCCTTCTCCACTATCTCCTGGCTGTCCAGCTTGATCCAGAAGACCCATCAGGGCCCCCTTCTTGTGCAGAAGCTCCTGGTAGGAACCCATCTCTGCGATGGCCCCATCTGCCAGCACCACGATCCAATCAACCTGGGGCAGGATGTGGAGTGCGTGGGTCACGAGAATCCGTGTCTGGGCAGGGAAGGTGGAGAAGTTACAGACATGTGTCTGGGCGCAGTGGCTCACATGTGTAATCCCAGCACTTTGGGAGGCCAAGGCAGGTTGATCACCTGAGGTCAGGAGTTCAAGACCAGCCTGGCTGACATGGCTAAGCCCTGTCTCTACTAAAAATACAAAAATTAGCTAGGTATGGTGGTGCATACCTGTAGTCCCAACTACTTGGGAGGCTGAGGCATGAAAATCACTTGAACCTGGGAGGTGGAGGTTGCAGTGAGCTGAGATTGCACCACAGCACTCCATCCTGAGTGACAGAGCAAGATTCGAAAAAGAAAAAAGAAAGGAGAGAGAGAACAAGGAAGGAAGGAAGGGAAAGTTACACACATGTGCTCGGCCAGCCTCCTGGAGCTGGGGGTTGGGGGGGGGTGTTGTCCCTGGACTCCGAGTGGGGAGAGCTCCGCTTCTTGTGCTCCTGCTATCTTTCTTGAAAACAGCATGGCCAAACAGAGAAACAGAGGGGACTCCTTCGGCCTGTGTCTCAAAACAAGACAAGGAGTCCATCTGACTCAGGCCAACCGTCCAAGGCAGAGCCATAGTAGTTAAACCACAGATGCATAAGCTGCTGTTATAAGCTGATGGAATCTGAGGGGTTGTTTGTTACACAGCATCATCACAACAAAAGCTGACCCATACGAAGAGGAAAACTGGACTCAAGTGGAAGGGCATGATGAGGGAAACCCAGGTTAGGACTGGATGCTAAGGGCATCCTCTGCCTTTGCTCTGTGCCCTCTGACACATGTTCCCAAACTTACTGTTCCCTGGAGTAGCCCACCAGGCCCGATGACCTGGTTGAAGATGTGCTGGCCAACATGGGCATCCAGGGCTGCCATGGGGTCATCCAGCAGGTACACAGCTGCCTTTCTGTACACAGCCCGGGCCAGGCTCAGCCGCTGCTTCTGGCCCCCAGAGAGATGCATGCCCTGTGGCCACAAAATGAACAGTGTCCTGAGTCTGCAGCTACAGGGTGAAACTGGGGCACCCAGGCTGGGGCAGGCTGGGGCACATCTGCCCATCAGGGTGAGGTGCAGCTCGCCATGCCTGTCCCCTAGCCCTTCACCCAGCTTCAAAGGCACTCACTTGCAAGCCAGCATCACCTCCATCCTTACCCGACCTCACTTCTCTCCTTCCCCAGCACGCTTCCTAGAGGAGTTCCATATGCTTCCCAATACACTGTCTCCTCCTGCTCACTCTTTGTGTCCATTTGAGTCCAACTTCTATTTCCCTTTCTCCACTGAGACCACCTTCAATGAGGACACCACTCATTTCCCTATTCCCTGATCCAGTGGTAGCTTTTCAGTCCTACCTTTCCATTTTAAATTTTATTTGTTTTAGTTGTTACCGACATGTAATAGCTGTACCTATTTGAGGGGCACAGGTGATATTTTGATGCCTGTAGAGCAGTGGTCCCCAACCTTTTTGGCACCAGGGACAATTTTTCCACAGACCTGGGGGCGGGGGATTGGTTTTAGGATGATTCACGCACATTACATTTATTGTGCGCCTTACTTCTATTATTGTTATTATTGTTAATTGAGCTGAAGTCTTGCTCTTGTCAGCCGGCTGCAATGCAGTGGTACGATCTCGGCTCACTGCAACCTCCCGCTCCTGGGTTCAAGAAATTCCCCTGCCTCAGCCTCCCAAGTAGCTGGGGTTACAGGCACCTGCCACCACATCTGGCTAGTTTTTGTATTTTTAGTAGAGATGGGGTTTCACCATGTTGGCCAGGCTGGTCTCGAACTTCTGACCTCAGGCGATCCACTCACCTTGGCCTCCCAAAGTGCTGGCCTGACAGGTATGAGCCACCGCACCAGGCCTACTTCTATTATTGTTACATTGTAACATGAAATGAAATACTTACACAACTCACCGTAATGTAGAATCAGTGGTAGCCCTGAGCTTGTTTTCCTGAAACTAGATGGTCCCTTCTGGGGGTGACGGGAAACACTGATAGATCATCAGGCATTGGACTCTCATAAGCAGCACACAGCCCAGCTCCCTCGCATGTGCTGTTTACAGTAGGGTTTGCGCGGCTATGAGACTAACAGCACCACCGGTCTGAGAGAAGGTGGAGCTCAGGCGGTGATGCCAGCAGTAAGGAGTGGCTGTGAACACAGATGAAGCCTCCCTCGCCTGTCCGCTGCTCACCTGCTGTGCTGCCCGCCCAGTTCATAACAGGTGAGCCAGGCGGGCGCCGTGGCTGACGCCTGTAATCCCAGCACTTTGGGAGGGCGAGGTGGGCCAATCACCTGAAGTCAGGAGTTTGAGACCAGCCTGATCAACATGGAGACACCCCGTCACTACTAAAAATACAAAAATTAGCCAGTCATGTTGGCTCACATCTGTAATCCCAGCTACTCGGGAAGCTGAGGCAGGAGAATCACTTGAACCCAGGAGGCAGAGGTTGCAGTGGGCCAAGATCACACCACTGCCCTGCAGCCTGGACAACAAGAGTAAAACTCCATTTAAAAAATAAAAATAAAAAAAGTCCAGGTGCAGTGGCTCATGCTTGTAATCCCAGCACTTTGGGAGGCTGAGGCAGGCGAATCACCTGAGGTCAGGAGTTCCAGACCAGCCTGGCCAACATGGTGAAACCCTGTCTCTACTAAAAATACAAAAATTAGCTGGATGTGGTGGTGCGTGCCTGTAGTACCAGCTACTTGGGAGGCTGAGAGAGGAGAACTGCTTGAACCTCCAAGCTAGAGGTTGCAGTCAGCCAAGTTCCACTGCACAGAGTCAGACTCTGTCTCAAAAAGATCCAAAAAACAGACCACAGACTGGTACTGATCCGTGGCCAGAGGCACTGGGGACCCCTGCTGTAGGCAGTATGTAATGATCATATCAGGGTAACTGAGACAGTCATCACCTCAAATACTTACCTTTTGTATTAGGAACACGACAATCCTTCTCGTCTAGCTATCTTGAAATATACAAATAAATTATCATTCGCTGTAATTTCCCTTGTGTACTACCAATTACTATAACTTATTCCTTCTATAAGGCCTTCTTGTCTTTCATTCATTCTTTTACGTGTTTTTATTTTTTTTTGAGACAGAGTCTCACTCCTTCACCCAGGTTGGAGGGCAATGGCATGATGTCAACTCACTGCAACCTCTGCCTCCTGGGTATAGGCAATTCTCCTGCCTCAGCCTCCTGAGTAGCTGAGATTACAGGCATGCACTACCATTCCTAGCTAATTTTTGTATTTTTACTAGAGATGGGGTTTTACCATGTTGACCAGGCTAGTCTCAAACTCTTGACCTCAAGCAATCCACCCACCTGGCCTCCCAAAGTGCTGGGATTACAGGCATAAGCCATCGCACCCAGCCATTCATTCATTCTTACATTCATTCATTCTATGAATAATGACTGCCTGCTTATCATATACCTGGCAGGGTTCTAGGCTTTGGGGAAACAGCAATGAGCAAAACAAAGCTGCTGCTCTCTTAATGGATCCATCATTCTAATGAGGGAGAGAGACAAGCGATTCATAAACAAACCAGTAACACAGACAGCACGTCGGGTGAAGAGTGCTATGAAAAATAAATACAAAAGCAGGGGTGGCCGGCCAGGAGTGGTGGCTCATGCCTGTAATCCCAACACTTTGGGAAGCCGAGGTGGATGGGTCCCTTGAGGTCAGGAGTTCTAGACCAGCCTGGCCAATATGGTGAAACCCCATCTCTACTAACCCAGGAGGTGGAGGTTGGAGTGAGCCGTGACTGCACCACTTAACTCCAGCCTGGGGAACCGAGTGAGGCTGTTGAAAACAAAAGAAAGGAAAGAAAAGAAAGGAAGGAATGAAGGAAGGAAGGAAGGAAGGGAAAAGAAAGAAAGAAGAGAGAAAAGGAAGGAAGGAAGGAAGGAGAGAGAAATCAGGTGCAGGTGCGGGCGGCACTAGCATGAGCGGGGTGCTGTGGTGGTGGATAAGGGGGTCAGGGAAGGCCTCTCTTTGAAGGTGATAGACATGAAGGATGAGCCCTGGGGACTCCCGGGGAGAGCTTTCCAGCAGAGGGAACAGCAGGTGCAAAGGCCCTGGGGTCAGTGTGTTTTGGGGGATCAGGGAATGTCACAGAGACTCTGGAGGCTGGAGTGAAGCTGAGAGATGATCATGATTAGAGATGGGGCTGATGGGGCTGATGGGTACCACAGCCAGGTCACAGGGAACTTACCAGGGATTATCACAACTTGGGCTTTGACTCTGAGGGAGATGGGGAGACCACCTGAGGTCAGGAGTTCGAGACCAGCCTCGCCAACATGGTGAAACCCTGTCTCTACTAAAAATACAAAAATTAGCCAGGTGTGGTGGGGAGTGCCTGAAATCCCAGCTACTCAGGAGGCTGAGGTGGGACAATCACTTGAACGTGCGAGGCAGAGGTTGCAGTGAGCCGAGACTGCACCACTGCACTCCAGCCTGTGCAACAGAGCGAGACTCCATCTCAAAAAATAAAATAAAATAAAAAACGCAAGTGTTAGGCTGGATTTGGCCTGAGGGTCACAGTTTGCCGACTCCTGCCCAATGCATAGCTCTAGATGCATATATCCTGTGTCTTGGATATCTCTGTCCAGACCCTTGGTGAGGCCCAGAGAGGGGAAGCAATTAGATCAACGTCACCCAGCAAGGCAGGGCAGGGAAAGGCAGGAAGTAGGTCTCCTCCCTCTCAGTTGTCAGAGAGCCCCTCACTGCCAATTCCTGCCACAACTCCCTGCCTCTCTCTGTGTCCATCTACACTCATCAGTTCTGATTATTTATTAAGCACCTACCGCATGCTTGACCCTAAGCTGAGCCCTCTTCTCCCCACTTCCGTGACCACTCCCCCCATTTCTCCATCATACTGCCCATGATGAGTCAGGGACCCAAATGACCCCCAGCTGCAACGTCTCCTGTCCCACAAAGACCCCGAGACTCTCACCTGCTCCCCAACTGAAGTGTGGACTCCTGCAGGGAAGCCGTCCACATCTGGCCGCAGGGCGCAGGCCTCCAGGACTCTGTCCAGCCAGGCTGGCTCCAGCTCCCGCCCGAAGCACACATTCTCCACCACAGAGGTGTTCTGCACCCAGGCCTCCTGGGGCATGTAGGCCACTGAACCCTAAAACACACTGACTTTGGTCACAGGAGGACGATGGGGACAGAGGTGGGACAGGCTTTGAGGAGAACTGGGAGCCTCAGTGGTCGCTGCGTGGTGGACAGAACGAATCAAAGTGAGCTTGGCTGGGATGGGGACGGGTGGGAAGGCAGTGAGGAAGGGGGACTTTCAGGATGGTGGGGACATCCTGGCAGACAGGCGGGGGGTGGCCTCACCTTGATGCTTATGAACCCCTCCACCTTTGACAGCTCCCCAAGGAGGGCGGACAGCAGGGAGGACTTCCCTGCCCCCACTGGACCAACAACAGCCAGGAGACAGCCCTGGGGCACAGTGAGGTTTATTCTGGCAACGCAACAGAGGAGACATGACCTTGGTTAGGGTCTAGCCTGCATCTGTGGGGAAGGCTGAGCCCCAGATGGAGCTGGGCTTTCCTGCTCTGGGAGTCTCTAAGAGCACCTGTGGGGCTATTCTTTTCCCAGTCCTTGTCTGGCTATTTGAGCAACCATGCAGTGCACATCTGTGCATGTGTGCATGCATACACACACACACAAAGTGTGCACACACGCATGCACACTTGTACACTCATACAAGCATGCTAGCGTGCACAGAAACACAATGTAGTCACACGTTCACACACAAAGCACATGCGCATACCCAAGCGATCCATGCTCACACACATACATGTGTGCACACGCACACCATGCACACACATGCATGCACGTCCACCCACGTGCACACAGAGTTGCCAGTACCCTGTGGGTTTTACCAGCCTGGCCTGCTGCCTTTGCTCCTGCAATAAATAGGCTCTTTCCTCCCCTCCCTGCCCCTGCTCTTGGTCCTGCCCCACTCCTGTCCATGCCCCACAGCTCATCCTCCACCCCGTTAAAACCCAAGTCAGCAGTGGCTCATGCCTGTATCCCAGCACTTTGGAAGGCCAAGGAGGGCCTATCACTTGAGGTTGGGAATTTGAGACCAGCCTGACCAATACGGAGAAATCCCGTATCTACTAAAAACACAAAAATTAGATGGCCATGGCGGTGTGTGCCTGTAGTCCCATCTACTTAGGAGGCTGAGAAGGAGAATCGTTTGAATCTGGGAGGCGGAGGTTGCAGTGAGACGAGATCGTGCCACTTCACTCCAGCCTGGTGACAGAGTGAGACTCCGTCTCAAAAAACAAACAAAAAACCCAAGTTGGATCATGACACTTCCCAAACCCGCCAACACTCCCGTTTCGCTCAGGGTCAAAGCTGAAGTCCTGACAGTCGTGAGCGACGTCCCGCCTCCCTCTGCTCTGTGCCTCAGCTGCTCGGCCTTGGCCACGCTGACCTCCTTGCTGTTTCTTAAACACAATAGGTCAGTGGTTCTCAACTGGGGGTGACTGAGTTTTCTATGAGTCATGTGGCAAGCTCTCGACATCTTTTTGGATGTCACGCTGGTAGGGGATGCTGCTGTCATCTAGTGGGTAGAGACTGGGGGTCTGCTAAATATCCCACAATGCACAGGACAGCCCCCAACAAAGAAGTATCAGCCCAAAATATCAACTGTGCTAAGGCTGGGAAACCCAGGTTCAGGCACACTCCTGCCCCAGGACCTTTACACATGCCATTCCCACTGCCTAGAAGGCTCTTCTCCCAGGCCAGACGCGGTGGCTCATGCCTGTAATCCCAGTCCTTTGGAGCTGAGGCAGGTGGAGCACTTGAGGTCAGGAGATGGAGACCAGCATGGCCAACGTGGTGAAACCCCATCTCTACTAAAAATACAAAAGTTAGCCAGGCCTGTAATGTCAGCTACTAGGGAGGCTGAGGCACGAGAATCACTTGAACTCAGGAGCTGGAGGCTGCAGTAAGCTGAGATCATGCCATTGCACCCCAGCCTGTGCAACAGAGCAGGACTGTTTCAAAAAAAAAAAGAAAGAAAGAAAGAAGAAAAGAAAGCAAGCTCTTCTTCCAGACACTTGCACAGCTGTCTCCTTCCTTATGATCTCAGCTTGAATGCTAGGCCTTCCCTCACTAGGCATGCCATTGTGCTCTGTCCCTATGCCCTGGCTTCCTGTTTGGGCCTCACCTCTATCAGCACATCACCCCAAGAGGGCAGAGCCCTTGTCTATTTCCTTCACCCGATGCCTAGTACCTAGAACCGAGCACGGCCTGTAGCAAGTACTCCGATGAGGAAGTGAGTGAATGACAACCAATGCGAATACTGCCCAGGGCATGTTCTTTCCCTTTTTAGAGAGTTTTAGGGCTGGCTGAGATTTTTGGCCACAAAGACCAAGCCATAGAGTTGGGAGCTGTAGGTGATGATGGCCTCGGACTGATATATGAGGCACAGAAGTGAGCACAGCTGATGAGGCTGAACCTTGGGGCTCCTCTCGGCCACCCCCCGCTTTGCAATGTCTTGGCCAGCCTGGGAGCAAAGGGGTGGCTCCCCATGATGGGAGAGGCTCAGAAGGCCTGGTCCCCACCTGCAGGAGATGCAGGAGCGTCCTGGGAACTTCCCCGGCAGAACCCCAGCACAGCCTAACCCACTCTCCTGTCCCAGGATGGAAACCTGCACCAGCTCTCAGGTGGGAGGCAGCAGGAGCCCCACGCAGTTTCTCCCTAAAAACATGAGGCTGGTTACCACGAGCGTCGTTCTGTACCTGTGGAGGCAGGGAGAGCTCTCCTGGGACCAGGTGAAAGTAGCACTGTGTATAGTGATGCAATCCTTCCTGGCAGCTGCAGGGCACAAGAGACCAGTTACAGGAGACCCCTGACCTGGCCAGCCTCTGCATCAAAGAGGCGCCCAGGCACTGCCCCCGAGGGCAGAAGCTGCAGCGGGAAATCTCTCCCACTTCACAGACTGCCCTGCTACTCACTGGCTTGTGTGTGACCCTGCAGGGGTCTTGCTCTCTCATGTCCCATGGCTAATAACCCAGGGGGTGGCAAACCATGGCCCAGAGACCAAATCCTGCCGGCTGCCTGTTCTTATCAATAAAGTTTTATTGAAACACGGCCAAATCCATTCATTTCTATATTTCATGTTTTGAGCAATTGTGACAGAGGCTGTGTGGCCCACGAGCCTAAAATATCTACAATCTGGTCATCTATAAAAAAGTTAACAGAATTCTGATATAAATTGTCATCTAATCCCAGCCTTCCCAGAGAGTGGAGGAGGTGTTATTAATTTCACTGTGGCTGGGAGCAGTGTCTCAAGCCTGTAATCCCAGTGCTTTGGGAAGCAGAGGTGAGTTGATCACTTTAAGTTAGGAGTTTCAGACCACCCTGGCCAATACGGCAAAACACTGTCTCTACCAAAAAGTATGAAAATTAGCCTGGCGTGGTGGCAGGTACCTGTAATCACAGCTACTCAGGAGGCTAAGGCAGGAGAATTGCTTGAACCCTTGCAGTGAGCCAAGATTGCACAACTATACTATACCATAGATAACAGAGAGAGGCTCCATCTCAAACAGTAATAATAATTATCATAACATATATACATTTATGTTATATAATTAATTATATTATATAATGTATAATTATAATAATCTATAATTATAACCATTATAATAAACAGTAATTATTATTTCACTGTGACAAGTGTAATTACATCAGTGGTTCTTGATCCTTAACACACAGAATCGCCTAAAAGATTTTCTAAAAATCAAAGCTCTCACGGCTCAGCCAAGATCAATTAAATCCATCCTCACAATTAGCTGCTGTAATAACTGACATGCCCATTTTGCAGATGGGAACATGGAGGCTGAGAGAGATGATCAACTTGTCAGGATTGCCCAGCTAGTCAGTGCTGGGGCTGGGATTTGGACCAGGGCAGTCCGATATCACAGGTAAGGCATTTACCCACTATGTGGGTGTTTCTCAGGTACACGGTTTGCCCAGGTTCTTCAGTACAACAAGGGGGAGGGTATCTTGGCCCGTGGGGTGATGAAATGATGGGGTGGAGGGGGAGGCCCAGGTAATCTGAGCTTGGTGAGTCTTATTATGCAATGGTGCTTGCAATGATGCTATTTTCTTTTGTGGGTGTTTTGTTTTGTTTTGTTTTGTTTTTTGAGGCAGAGTCTCGCTATCATCTAGGCTGGAGTGCAGTGGTGTGATCTCAGCTCAGTGCAATCTCTGCCTCCTGGGTTCAAGTGATTCTCCTGCCTCAGCCTCCTGAGTAGCTGAGATTATGGGTACCACCACAACCGGCTAATTTTTGTATTTTAGTAGAGACAGGGTTTGTCATGTTAGTCAGGCTGGTCTTGGACTCCTGACGTCGTGATCTGCCTGCCTTGGCCTCCCAAAGTGCTGGGATTACAGGCATGAATCACCGTACCCAGCTTGCAATGATATTATTTTCTAGCTTGACCAAAATGTTGCCATGCTTATCATCTTGGTCTTTCTGCATGAGGACAAGGACCTGGCATGTGGCAGCAGGAGTCCCCAAGCCCCAGGCCACAGACTGGGACCAGTCTGCAGCCTCAGGAACTGGGCCATCCAGCAGGAGGTGAGCAGAAAGCAGGCGAGCAGAGTGTCACCTGTGTTTACAGCCACTTCCCATCACCTGCATCACCACCTTAGCTCCACCTCCTGCCAGATGAGCAGCGGCATTAGATTCTCACAGGAGCACAAACCCTACTGTGAACCGTGCAAGTGAGGAATCTGGGCTGCATGCTCTTTATGAGAATCTAATGCCTGATGATCTGTCACTCTCTCCCATCACCCCCAGATGGGACTGTCTAGTTGCAGGAAAACAAGCTCAGGGCTCCCACTGATTCTACATTGTGGTGAGTTGTATCATTACTTCATTACATATCACAACATAGTAATAATAAAGTGTACAATAAATGTAATGTGTTTGAATTGTCCCCAAACTGTGCGCCCCACCCCGGTCCATAGAAAAACTGTCTTCCACAAAACTAGTCCCTGGTGCCAAAAAGCTTGGGGCCCACTGTGTTAGTGTGTTCTCTGCTGCACACACAGGACAGCACAAAGTTGGTGCTCAGTGAGTGGTCGCTGAATGGCTAGCACAAAGAACAGCAGCACAGTGCCTGTTTCCAAGTGACATGCAGATGGCGTGATCTGCACATGCCAGTCCACTACCTGCAGCCCCCATCTCCCCCAGGTGCTGATGCTGGCTCGCCATTATGGGCCCAGACAGCCCCCATGCCCCCCATCCCTCCCACATCCCTCCTGCCAGACTCAGCACTCACAGCTTCCAGAGGGACACACGTCCACTGCACCAGGGTCAACTTCTTCCAGGCAGAGGAAGGAGACCAGACGGTCAAAGGACACCCGGGCCTAGGGAAACAGAAGCCCCAGGTCACCCAGCCAGAAGACCAAAGAACTTGGGTTTGGGGTGTCAGTGTCTCAAGATGTGTGGCAAAAGCTTCCTGTCTACCAAGTTCTGTGTATGTGCAAGGCGTGAGGACAAAGCTTTCTAGTTCATGGGAAACGATGCACCCTGAGTGGTGACCTTGATGGTGGTGATCTGCCACCTCTGCACTCGTATCAGTCAGTGACATGGGAACAAACCAGCTGCCATTCCACGGAAAAGATCTGAGAAGAGGATGGTGGCTTTTCCAATGAGGTTATCAAGCCATTATATAATTTCAAATGTTGTCCACCTGGGGGCATCCTGTCCCAGTCACAAACCCATCTTGGGGAAGGAAGATACCGGTCCTTAAAGTAAGAGATTAAGCCAGGTGCAGTGGCTCATGCCTATAATCCCAGCACTCTGGGAAGCCAAGTGCAGGAGGATCACTTGAGGCCAGGAGTTGACGATGCAGAGAGTTGAGATCACACCACTGCACTCCAGCCTGGGTGACAGAGTGAGACCCTGTCTTAATACATACATAAATAAGTAAGTAAGTAAATATGGCTGGGCACAGCGGCTTATGTCAGAAATTCCAGCACATTGGGATGCCACGGTGGGCAGATCACCTGAAATCAGCAGTTCAAGACCAGCCTGGTCAACATAGTGAAACCTCATCTCTATGAACAATATGAAAAAAATTAGCTGGGCATGGTTGTATGTGCCTGTAGTCCCACCTAGGTGCGAGGCTGAAGCAGGAGAATCACTTGAACCCAGGAGGTGGAGGTTGCAGTGAGCCGAGATTGCACCATTGTATTCCATCCTGGGTGACAGAGTGACACTCTGTCTCAAAAAAAAATAATATAAATAAAAATTAAAAAATAGAAACAGATGGCTCAGGTATGCCACCGTTTCTTGTTTTCACGATGCTGAAAGGACCAAAGATAGCAAAGGAAGAGAAACAAAATTGCTTTGTGTAAAAAAGGGAACTGACATAATTGCTTGTATGTAGAATCGCTGGACAGACGGATGAGCCTGCATGTTCTGAGGGTGTCTGTGGAGAGGTCTGCACATTATACGGAACAATTTCAAATGTCCATCTGGGGGTGCCCTCTCCCAGTCACAAACCCATCTTTGGCGAAGAAAGAAACCAGTCATTAAAATACAGACTAGGCTAGGTGCGGCGGCTCATGCCTGTAATCCCAGCACTCTGGGAAGCCAAGTGCCCTCTTGGTTCTCAGCGATGGTACCTGTGACCAAGTGTTGATTGTGTTGGTGACACCTGCTGTCATAGCAGACAGCCCCTATGGTTCTAGATACTCACGGAAATGGTTGTCGGATTCCATGGTGGTACAGACAAAGGTTGGCCCCTTGCAGATGTCTGCTGTACTCTCTGCCCACCTCTGTTCTTACCCCTGCTGGCCTCTTTTCCAGCTCCACACCATCTGTCTCCCTCCCACTCTGTCTTTCCCCTCCTCGGCAAATGGCAGGCCTAGGGTAGCTGAAGCCAGTGTAGCCCACGCGGTCCCCCAGGATGGCTCCAGCCCTGACCCCCACCTCACCTGGACGAGGGAGTGGATGGAGAAGGGCAGGAAAGCCTGGGCCTTGTTGAGGATGTTGAGAACCGTGAGAGTCACAAAGGCTTTCTCTGCATCCATGGCATTCTCGGCCACCAGAGTGTGGACAGCAAACACCACCAGTGCAACCTGAGGTGGGAGGGGAAACACGTGGGGCGACAGTGAGACACGCAAGCATGGACTGGGCAGGCCAGGCAAGCTATGGTGCCTGCAGGGTCCATGTGACCCACCTGCCATGTCCGCAGGAGCCTCCCTCAATAGATCCCACTCCCAATCCTACTAATACGCATCCACTCCTCAGCCACAAGCTAAGCAAGGCTCTCTCCAAAGACACAGCATGTTGTTAAAGGCGATGAGGGTGCAGCCCTGGCTCTAGGCATCACTAGAGGCTAGGGGAGAGCCTAATGGCTCTCGGCTGCAGGCGCTGGGGGGACAGCAGAGTTTCTGATCTTGGTAGCATTGCTGTTTTAGGCGTGGTGGAACTCGTGACCCGAGAGTCCCTTGGAAGATGACTCTAAAGCTGCAGGCAGAAGCAGCACGTGAGGGCGCTAGGAGTTGGTGCCATTTGTGGTCCCCCTGCCCTTTTTTTTTTTTGGAAACAAAACCTTTCTCTGTTGCCCAGGCTGGAGTGAAGTGATATGATCTTGGCTCACTGCCATCTCCACCACCCAGGTTCAAGGGATTCTCCTGCCTCAGCCTCCTGAGTAGCTGGGATTACAGCCGCTCTCTACCATGCCTGGCTAATCTTTGTGTTTTTGGTATACACAGGGTTTTGCCATGTTGGGCAGGCCGGTCTTGAACTCCTGACCTCAGGTGGTCCACCCACCTCAGCCTCCCAAAGTGCTGGGATGACAGGCTTGAGCTACTTTGCCCAGCCTATGTATCAAATTTGTTAAAGCTGTGCTTTAGGAAGGCTGTTTTGACAGCAATCTGAAATAAATGACAGAATGAATGGCAGGACAAGGATCCCGTCAGTAACAGGGTGGCTGTGGACATCTGCTGGCCGGCAGCAGGGAAGCCCCTCAGACGCCGGATTCTACCTCGGCAGTCGCCCTGCACCTCCACCCTCCTTCTCATGTCAGTAGAAGCCTGGAACTCTCCGAACAGCAGACCTCAGGAGCCGCTGCCACCTTCACCACCTTCACCAGAATGACCACATTAATTCACTCAAGCAGAAGACAGCAGGAACCCCGAGAGAACAGGATCCTGAATGAGTGGGTTTTGATGGACAGAGTGGTAGGATCTGGGAGGCTCCACATACCTCACCCTGCCCCCACCACCACCACTCCTTCCCCAGTCCCGCTCCACATAGAGATTAGAGTGACGTCACCAGAAACGTAGACACTTGGAAGGACACCAGCGACACGGAGAAGAGGAGGCCGGAGGTCCGCAAGGCGCCCAGCTCCCAGCCCCGGATGCCCAGGACTCTGTCCAGAAAGGCTCCCTCCCAGCCATGGAACTTGATGGTCCTCGAGTTCCTGAGGATGGAGCTTGTGAGCCGAGCCCGCAAGTCCTTCTGCCTCATTTGCTCTTCCTGGGATTGGAGAGGAGAGAGAGATGAAGACGGGGCCGGTCCAGAATTCTCCCTGCACCCTGACAGCCACCCTGCAGGAAATCCCACTGATTTCGACAAGTACGTCCCAAAGCTTTCTGCCTCTCAGCATCTCTGACCCTCAGTCCTGGTCCATCCACCATCATCCTGTGCCTGGACTCCTGTAGGAACTGACCCAGGACCATCACCCCAGGGAAGCAGACTCTCTCTAATGCCCAGAGAACAGATGGAGCCCCTGAGCCCTCCTGGGTATGGCCCTGTCAGGAAGGCTAAATGGAGTGGGTGATATCTGAGCTACATCTTTTTTCTCCATTTACATTTTGTGAAGTTGGGGGGTCTCACTATGTTGCCCAGTCTGGTATGGAGCTCCTGAGCTCAAGTGAACATCTGCCCTCAGTCTCCTAAAGTGCCAGGATGACGGCCTGAGCTATATCTTTCTGTTTGTTTTTTCTTGTTTTTTAAGACAGTCTCACTCTTGTTGCCCAGGTTGGAGTACAGTGGTGCAATCTTGGTTCACTGCAACCTCCACTTCCCAGGTTCAAACGAATCTCCTGCCTCAGCCTCCCGAGTAACTGGGATTACAGGTGCCCACCACCACGCCCAGCTAATTTATTTTTTGAATTTTTAGTAGAGATGGGGTTTTACTGTGTTACACAGGCTTGTCTTGATCTCCTGACCTTGTGATCTGCCCACCTCAGCCTCCCAAAGTGCTGGGATCACAGGCGTGAGCCACTCCGCCCGGCCCCTGAGCTACATGTTAAATGACCAGGAGGTTCGTGCTGGGCAGGCAGAGGATGGGGGGATGGAGCTGGGAAGAGGGAGGGGAGGCTTTAAGACAGGGGGCAGCAAAAACCCAGGCACAGGGAGCAGCAGGACTTGGAGGGCACTCAGTGTGGCCACAGGAATGCGTGGACAGGGTCACCTGGCACTTTAGGGTCACGCAGGAGTTTGGGGTCCCCTGTGCTTCACTGGGTAGGGGGGCATCACCAGAGGGCAGCTGCCTGGGGAAGGGTTTTTTTTTGGGTTTTTTTTTGTTGTTTTGAGATGGAGTCTTGCTCTGTCACCAAGGCTGGAGTACAGTGGCACGATCTTAGCTCACTGCAACCTCCTCCTCCCAGGTTCAAAGGATTGTCGTGCCTCAGCCTCCCAAGTAGCTGGGATTGTAGGCACCTGCTACCACACCTGGCTAATCTTTGTCTTTTTTAGTAGAGACAGGGTTTTGCCATGTTGGCCAGGCTGGTTTCAAAACTCCTCACCTCAGGCGACCTGCCCAGCTTGGCCTCCCAAAGCGCTGGGATTACAGGTCCGAGCCACCAGGCCCACCGAGAAGATTTTCAAGGAGGCCTCGCAGGAAGCTAGAGAAACAGCCCAGATGACAGACACGGGGACAGCTGGGCCTAGAGGGGAAGTCAGTTCCCTCCCTCCTTCACTTCCACCTCTTTCCTTTCTGCCTCCCTCCCCCCTCTCTTCCTTCCCTCCCTCATTCCTTCTCTTCCTCCCTCAACTCTTTCCTTCCCTCCAGCTGTCCTGCCCTTTCCTATCTTTCCTCCCCTCCCTTCTTTCTCCCCCCTTCCCTTCTTCCCCTCCTCTCTCCCTCCCTTCTCCCCTCCCTTTCTTCCATCGTTCTCAAACACGGATCCAGCACCTTCTGCACCCCCAGCACTAACTAGACACTGAGTCTGCCACAGGGAGTGGCCCGTGCTGCTGTGGAGCTTCCAGTCTAAGGAGAGCGAGGCCATCGGCCCCTGCCAGGAGCCTCCTGCAGGGCCCTTTAGGAAGTGCGAAGTGCTGGGGAAAAGCAAAAACCAACCCAGGACAGGCCAAGGAAGGGAGCTGCTGGGAGGAGAGGGATGGGCGGTTGTGTCCTTGCTGGACGGTGGTGAGGGAGGCGGCCCTGGAGGGGACAAGGGTCTTCTGGATTGAGGGTGACCCAGGCAGAGGGAACAGCTAAAGCAGGTGCCTGGAGAGATGTGTGAACATCAGGCAGAGGTCAGGATGGTGAAGGGGGGTAGGTGGGAAAGGGGGGAGACGGGTGGAAGGTGAGGCTGGAGGCAATGAGGCAGCTCAGGGTGGGCCTGGTGGGCCACTGTGGGGCCTTTGGCTCAGACTGAGGAAAACTGGGCCGCTGTGGGTCTCAGCAGAGGAGGGCGCAATGTATTCTGCTTACACAGGTCTCCTGTGGCTGGGAGTGGAGAGAGGTGGGGGCAGAAGTAGAGAGTGAGCCAGGGCCTTGCTGCAGGGATCCAGGTTAGAGAAAGGGTGGGGTGGGGGCTTGGAGGACCTGCAACAGGAAGGGTGACATTCTGGATGCACTCTGAAGGTGACGCCAAGCAAATCTGCTGGCCGATGGGGTGCAAGAGAAAAAGGCATTGAAGTGACCCAGGGCCCGGGGCCTGAACACTGGAGGGAGGAGCCGCCATCCATTGCGATGGGGGAGGAGCGGGGGCAGGTCTGCACAATGGGCAACTCACAGAGACTAAAACAAGGCAGAGCCACGGGCTCCCACTCAGCTCTCCCCTCCCCATCGCCCACACAGGACCTATGGCTTCCTCCCTTCTTCCTGCCCGGTCCACCCCTTTCCCAAAAGCCAAACCTGATGGTGGTTCCTCTTCTTGGTGATGAAGAAATTCAGAGGGAGGAGGCTCAGGAAGACAGCGATGGCCATGAGGGCAGACGGGCCCAGGAGCTGGGAAGAGGGGACAGGATGTCAGGAGATCCCGAGGAGCCCAGCTGCCAGAGGCATGTGAGCCACAGCAGCTCCATCTTGAATAGGAGCTGGGTAAAAGGAGGCTGAGAGCTCCCGGGCTGCGTTCCCTGGTGGTGAAGACATTCTAAGTCACGGGATGAGACAGGAGGGCAGCACAGGATACAGGTCACAGAGACCTTGCCAGTAAAACAGGCTGCAGTAAAGAAGCCAGTCCAACCCACCAAAACCAAGATGGCCACCAGAGTGGAGGTTGTAGGGAGAGGTTACAGTGAGCCACAATTGTGCCACTGCACTCCGGCCTGGGCACCAGAGTGAGATTCCATGTCAAAAACGAAACAAAATGAAAAACTCACTTCGCTTTACAGACTTATCCTGAATTCTTTCTTGCATGGGATCCAAGAACCCACCCTTGGGGTCTGGATCGGGTCCCCTTTCCTGTAACACAAATGCAGATCCTGAAGGGGGTCAGACTTGGGTCCTAAGATGGGGAGTCAGGGAATGTGATAAGGGCAGCCACCAGGTCCCAGGGATCTGGGCTCATGGGGGTCTGCTGGGTCAGGAGGCGCCTGCCGCAAATGGGGTCCTTCAGTGTCAGGGAGGGGAATGGCCCACTTACACGATGGGGATAGCGTCATATTCAAGACAGAATATGTACACACATGAGTAGCACTGTGGGGTGTTCCTGGCCACAACAGTGAAGTTGAGACCTCTGGAATCAGGACCGGGTTCAAATCCTAACTCTGACGCTTGTGAGTGTGACCTTGGGACAAGTCGCCTCCCTAACGTGCAGTTCCCTTGTCTGCAAAATGGGAACAGATTTGTCCTAATTTTGCATGTTTGCTTATTACATTTCATCATTTTCCTAATCTTCATTTTACCCTCATGAGGGCTGTCAGACTTAGCAAATCGTCATACAGATGCCGAGTTTCCTTTGAAGACAAAGAGTAAGGTTTTCGTATAAATCTCGTGCATTATTTGGGACATACACTGAAAGTCTGAAACTCACGCTTCTCTGCATGTCCTGTTTTCTCTGGCAACCCTGCTCCCTGCCAACATGGTGCTTTTGGGATAGTTATCTTCCCTTCTCAGCTTTGGTTTCTATATCTGGAAAACGTGGAAGTGGGAGGTAGAATAAATGATTTTTAAGTTGCTGCGCCTTTCTGAGAGTCCTTCACAGGTTACTTGAACCCATTCTCTCGACAAGCGCCACCCCAACTCCAGTCTGTGTGCCTCCGTTTCCCATCTCAGTCCTTAGGAACACATTTTCTTTTTCTTTTGTTGTTCTTTTCTTCTTTTTCCTTTTTCTTTTTCTTTTTTTTTTTTTAATGAGATGGGAGTCTTGCTCTGTCACCCAGGCTGGAGTGCAGTGACATGATCTCGGTTCAGGGCAACCTGTGCTTCCCAAGTGATTCTCCTGTCTCAGCCTCCCGAGTAGCTGGGATTACAGGTGCCTGCCACCATGCCTGGCTAATTTTTGTATTTTCAGTACTTGCCATATTGGCCACGCTGGTCTTGAACTCCTGACCTAAGTGATCAACCAGCCTCGGCCTCCCAAAGTGCTAGGATTACAGGTATAAGCCACCACGCTCAGACTGGTCTTATCTGAGTTTTAGCAGTCGTGGTGTCAACCTGATCAACTGCCCTGAAATTTCCAGTGTTCTTCCTCTCCCTCTTTCTTCCTAATGATGCCTTGTATGTACTGCACATGAAGCACTGTCCAAGTGCCTTACGCTGTACTTGCTAAGAACCTGTTGTTTGCAAGGCCCTGAAATACAAGGTGAAGGCATTAGAAAAGGTCCCGGCCCCTAGTCCTGGCGTCAACAATCATATGCATGTGCATTCCAATTTTGGGGGGAGTACGGAACAATTATAATCAAAACGCCACTAACATTTTTTACAAGGGCGGGCACAGTGGCTCATGCCCATAATCCCAGCACTTTGGGAAGCTCTGGTGGGCAGATTGGCTGAGGTCAGGAGTTTGAGACCAGCCCAACATGGTGAAACCCAATCTCTACTAAAAATACAAAAATTAGCCAGATATGGTGGCGCATGCCTGTCATCCCAGCTGCTTGGGAGGCTGAGGCTGGAGAACCGCTTGAACCTGGGAGGAGAAGGTTGCAGTGAGCCAAAATTGTGCCACTGTACTCCAACCTGGGTAACACAGTGAGACTCTGTCGCAAAAAAACAAAACAAAACAAAACATTTTTTACAATTTTAAAAGCCAGTCTTGCTCTGTCTCTGAGCTAGAATGCAGTGGCATGATCACAGCTCACTGTAACCTTGAACTCCTGGGCTCAAGCGATCCTCCTGCCTCAGCCTCCCAAGTAGTTAGGACTACAGGTGTGTACCACCACCATGCCCAGTTAAATATATAAATATAAATATATATATAAATCGAAAGGATACTATGTCATGACATGTGAAAATGATATGGAGTTCAAATGTCAGCATCCATAAACAGAATTTTGGTTTTTTTTGAAATGGAGTCTCACTCTGTTGCCCAGGCTAAAGTACAATGGCACGGTCTTGGCTCACTGCAACCTCTGTCTCCCAGGTTCAAGCAATTCTCCTGCCTCAGCCTCCCGAGAAGCTAGGATTACAGTGGCCCACCACCACACCCAGCTACTTTTTGTACTTTTAGTAGAGACAGGGTTTCACCATGTTGGCCAGGCTGGTCTCAAACTCCTGGCCTCGTGATCCACCCACTTTGGCCTCCCGAACTGCTAGGATTGGAGGAAAACCATGCCTGTTTGCTTAGTATTACCTGTGGCCACTTCTGCACTCCAAGGGCAGAGGTGAGTATTTGCAGGAGAGATGGTAGGGCCCCCAATGTAAAAATATCTACTGTCCTGTCCTTTGCGAAAAAGTAGCTCATGATAATACTAGCAAATACCTATAGAGTGCTGCTGTGTGCCCGGCGCCGTGCTAAGCGCTTTCTAGTATGGGCTCGTGTCATGCCTCAGCACCTCTGGGGCAGGGGCGCTACTGTTAGTTACGATCCTGGTGTTACAGACAAGGACAGGCACCGAGAGAGTAGGTTCCTTGCTTACCAATTCACAGCTGGTAAGTCGTCAGAAGCAGGATTTGAGCCTGGGCACTTCCTGATACAGAGTCTAATTTTCTTTTTCTTTTCTGGAGACAGGGTCTCTTTCTGTCACCCAGGCTGGAGTGTAATGGTGCGATCTCGGCTCACTGCAACCTCCACCTCCAAGGCTCAAGCGATTCTCCTGCCTCAGCCTCCAGAGTAGCTGGGATGACAGGTGCCCACCACCACACCCAGCTAATTTTTGTATTTTTAATAGAGACAGGGTTTCACCATGTTAGCCAGGTTGGTCTCGAACACCTGGCCTAAAGTGATCCACCCACCTTGGCATCCCAAAGTGCTGGGATTACAGGCGTGAGCCACTGTACCCAGGCCAGAGTCTGATATTTTTTTTTTTTTAATTAAAAAGAAAATCCTGTACCACAAAGTTGAAGGAAGTCAGAAAATACATGTTTTGTTTGTTTTCGTTCTGGTTGTTTCCTGACAGCTACTTTGTCCTTTTGGAACAGTAAGTAGCAATTTGTTTCCCGTGAATTTTTTCCTCTCGTGTTTTGTAGACAGCGGCTGTGGCGATACCCCAGGGCTACTGGTAACTTCAAAACGTGGTTAACTTGCCTACTGGGTACCCTAATAGCACAAGGGAAAGTGTCAATGTCATCATCATCATTCTACAAAGGAAACTGAGGCCCTGAGAGGATGAGCTTCCTGCCTAAGGCCAAGTGAAGGCGATCCTCTTGAAGACTTTTCCCGTTAGATCAGCCAACAAGAGGCAAAAGGAGACAGGATTGGAGGAGGAGGAGACGGGGTAGAAGGAGAGGGGAAAAAAGAGGGGAAGAGGGAGAAAGGAAGGGGGGGAGCAGGAGGAGGAGGGAGCGGGGGGGGGGGGGAGAGGGGAGAGGAAAGCAGGGGGAGGGAGGATGACGGAGCAGAAACGGAAGAAAAGGGAGGCGCAGGAGAGAGGAAGACGAGGAAGAGGGGGTGGGAGGGAGACGAGGAGGGGCTGCAGGAAGAGGAGGGGTGCTGCATGGTCAGAAGGCGGGGGGTGCAGGAGGAGAGGAGTGCAGGGAGCGGGAGGAGGGGATGCGGGGGCAGGGGGTGGGGAGGAAGGCTTGTAAGCGTCCACACCGGGAATGGAATCGTGGGTGATGAAGACAGGACACGGTCGAGACCTTTCTCGTGCCTCTCCGACACCAACCTGGTTCTCCGGCAGCTTCAAATTGCCCTAACCCCGGGGTCACAGTTGACCCATTCTAGCCTCTTGAATGCTAAGTGCTGAGGAGGAAGGGTGGGAGGGGGAAGAAGGAGGAAGGATCGGTGACGCCATTCGAATCCCATCTTCCTCCACCCACGCACCTGCCAGAGATAGACGAAACAGACCACGATCCAGACGAGAGGCAGCCACAGGCCATTGAGGTAGAGGACGCTCTCGGTCACCCGCTGCACGTCCACGGACACCAGGTTGACGACGTCACCCACTGCACTGGCCTTTCTGGAGCCGCTGGACAGAGCCAGGACCTGCAGGGAGGGCAGAGGGAAAGAAGCAGAGGGCTTGAGGCTGGGGCACAAGGGTGCCCCAGGTGGCTTATCCACCCACTGAGCCTCACTGTGTTCATCTGCGCAGTGAGTAAAGTCTCTTAGGCCAATCTCTTGAGAATCCAGAGATGATTAAAAAAAAAAAATTCTCCAAGATCCCTAAAGCACAGGGGGTGTAATAATAAATAACATGCATGAAAACACCAGATTAACACAGGTAACAGTGGTCATCTGCCCACTGCTCACCATGTCCCACGCGCTGTGCTAAACGAACAGTCTCATCATGTCCCAGGGAGCTCATGGCCGTGAATGGCATCCAGCAGGCACTACCACATTCTTTCCATCTAAAATGCCAGGCCAGGTCCGGTGGCCCCTGCCTTTAATCTCGCCACTATGGGAGGCCGAGTGGGGGGTACTGCTTGATCCTAGGAATTTGAGACCAGCCTGGACAACATAGCAAGGCCCAATCTCTACAAAAACAGTTTTAAAAATTAGCCAGGGGGCTGGGCATGGTGGATCACACCTGTAATCCCAGCACTTTGCGAGGCCGAAGTAGACAGATCACCTGAGGTCAGGAGTTCGAGACCAGCCTGGCCCATACGGTAAAACATTGTCTCTGCCAAAAATACAAAAATTAGCCAGGCATAGTGATGAACATCTATAATCCCAGCTACTCGGGAGGCTGAGACAGGAGACTCACTTCAACCCAGGAGGCGGAGGTTGTAGTGAGCCCAGATCAAGCCATTGCACTTCAGCCTGGGTGACAAGAGCAAAACTCCATCTCAAAAGAAAAAAAAAAAATTGGCCAGGCACAGTTGCGGTGTGCCTGTGGTCCCAGCTACCGGGGAGGCTGAGGTGGGAGGATCACTTGAGTTCAGGAGGTTGACGCTGCAGTGAGCTGGGTTGGTGCCGCTGCACTGTAGCCTGGGGAACAGAGGAAGACCCTGGCTTTAAAAAAAACGCCATGGGCAAAACGCTGTCTAACGCTCTCTCACCAAGGAAGATATTTCCAATTACATTAAGACATTTAAGAGACATCTCCATTTTGGAAATATTAGAGTGAAGAAAAAAAATTTTAGACTAGAATCAATGAAAGGCACAATTACTAACCCCATTCTCCAGCTAAGGAAACGGAGGCACAGAGAAGTTCAGCACCTCTCCCAAAGTCACAGGCCTTGCAAGTTCCTTCACCCTTGAAGCAATCCAGGGTGATGCAGGCACACAAGGGTGAGACCTTTCACGTGCTTCTCTGACAGCAACCTGCTTCTCTGTCAGCCTCTTATCTGCCCTAACCCTGGGGTCACAGTGGACCCCTTCCAGCCTGTTGGATGCTAAGTCCCACATGTAGTCCTGTCTCTGTGACTATGTGAGGGAGTGAAGGAGTGATCCAGCAATGACTGAGCATAGAAATTATCCACATAGCAAATCTCCGGAGAGGGCCCACTGTTGGTCTCACACTGAGCTGAGAGCTGAAAACACAGCTGTGAACAGCAGAAATGAGGCTTGCTCTCCCGGGGCTGGAGTTTGAGGTGGGAAACAAGGCCTTATAACAAAGATTTATATAACTGGCCTGGCATGGTGGCTTATGCCTGTAATCCCAGCACTTTGGGAGGCCGAGGCGGGTGGATGGCTTGAGGCCAGGGGTTGGAGACCAGCCTGCCAATATGGTAAAAAAACTCTGTCTCTAGTAAAAATACAAAAATTAGATGGGCACGGTGGTGGGGGCCTGTATTCCCAGCTACTCCAGAGGCTGAGGCAAGACAATCGCTTGAACCTGGGAGGTGGAGATTGCAGTGAGCTGAGATCTCCACTGCACTCCAGCCTGGGTGGCAGAGTAAGACTCTGTCTCAAAAAGTAAGAAAACCTAGGCAATACCATTCAGGACATAGGCATAGGCAAAGACTTCATGACTAAAACACCAAAAGCAAGAGCAACAAAAGCCGAAATTGACAAATGCAATCTAATTAAACGAAAGAGCTTCTACATAGCAAAAGAAACCATCATCAGAGTCAACAGGCAGCCTACACTTTGGTTGTAGAAATGGGAAAAATTTTTTGCACTTTATTCATCTGACTGAAGGCTAATATCCAGAATCTACAAAGAACTTAAATTTACAAGAAAAAAAAAACTCATCAAAGAGTGAGTGAAGGATAGGACCAGACACTTCTCAAAACAGACATTTATGCAGCCAGCAGACATATGAAAAAATGCTCATCATCACCAGTCATTAGAGAAATGCAAATTAAAACCACAATGAGATACCACTCATGCCAGTTAGAATGGTATTCATTAAAAAGTCAGGAAACAACAGATGCTGGAGAGCATGTGGAGAAATAGGAAAGATTTTATATTGTTGGTGGGAGGGTAAATTAGTTCAACCATTGTGGAAGACAGAGTGGTGATTCCTCAAGGATTTAGAACTAGAAATATCATTTGACCGAGTAATCCCATTACTGGGTATACACTCAAATTATTATAAATCACTCTACTAAAGACACATGTGCACATGTTTATTGTGACTGGGAACCAATACAAATGCCCATCAATAAGAGACTAAAGAAAATGTGGCACATATATACCATGGAATACTATGCAGCCATAAAAAAGGATGAGTCCATGTCCTTTGCAGGGACATGGAAGAAGCTGGAAACCATCATTCTCAGCAAACTGACACAAGAACAGAAAACCAAATACCACACCTTCTCACTCATAGGCGGGAGATGAACAATTAGAACACATGTACACAGGGAGGGGAACATCACATACTGAGGCCTGTTGGGGGTGGAGAATAGGGGAAGGGATAGCATGAGGAGGAATATTTAATGTAGATGATGGGTAGATGGGTGCAGCAAACCACCATGGCACGTGTATACCTGTGTAACAAACCTGCACGTTCTGCACATGTACCCCAGATCTTAAAGTGTATATATATAAAATGACAAAACAAACGATTTATATAACTCATGCTTTAACGGCAGTTATGATGAGTACCCTAAGAAAGCAGCCCAGGCTGGGCGTGGTATCTCACACTTGTAATCCCAGTACTTTGGGAGGCTGAGGTGGGTGGATCACCTGAGGTCAGGAGTTTGAAACCAGCCTGATCCAATGGTGAAACCCTGTCTCTACTAAAAACACAAAATTATCTGGGCATGGTGGTGCATGCCTGTAATCCCAGCTACTCAGGAGGCTGAGGCAGAAGAATCGCTTGAACCTGGTGGGCAGAGGTTGCAGAAAGCCAAGATCGCATCATAGCACTCCAGCCTGGGCTATAAGCATTAAACTCTGTCTTTTTTTTTTTTTTTTTTAAAAAAAAAAAAAAGGCAGCACAGAGGTTAGAGAGGAGAGGAGGGGTCTGACCTCATCAGGAGATCAAAGAAGGCCTCCTGCAGGTAGGAGTGAGATCAATGCCCATCAGGCGGCTTTCCTCTCAGGCTCAAGGAAACGCGTGGACTCCGGAAACAGGATGGGGCACGCCCGGCTGTGGCATGCTCAGGAGGACGCGAGGCTGGGACGAAGCGCTCTGGTAGGACAGCATCAAGAGCTGCCCTCCTGGCCACTCGGGATTTGTCCCCTTGGCCCTCTCCTCCCCAGGTGACAGCTCAGGTGTCGCAGAACGAGACTTACATGGAACGGGACCTGCCCTGGCTCAGATGCTTCATGCCCGACAGGAGCCAACAGCTCCTGCGGCAGCAGTCTAGGGACTCAGTGTAACGAGAGCAGAGACAAGTCCAAAGCTATGGCCTCCCATCAGGTATGCAGTCAACGGACACAACTTCCAGCCCACGTGCAATCTGGAGTCTTTTTTTTTTTGAGATGGGGTCTCACTCTGTCACCCAGGCTGAAGAGCAGTGGTACAATCTCAGCTCACTGCAACCTCCCCCTCCTGGGTTCAAATGATTCTCAGATTACAGGCACCTGCCACCATGCCTGGCTAATTTTTGTAGTTTTAGTAGAGATGGGGTTTCATCATGTTGGCCAGGCTGGTCTTGAACTCCTGACCTCAAGTGATCTTCCCTTGTGAAAATGACCCCTAGGCTGGGTGCAGTGGCTTATGCCTGTAATGTCAGCCTCCCAAAGTGCTGAGATTACAGACTTGAGCCACTGCACCCAGCCTAGGGGTCATTTTCACCACAAGCAGTATTGTCTGGGAACACAGCTGACTGGTCACCTTATCAGAAGGCCACCCTACCCTCAAGAGGGAATGACTGTCAGTTAAAATTAGGCACAAACGTTAAAATTAGGAGTAGTAGACATGGTGTCTAGGCAGTGAAAACAAAGACCCCGAGGTGGGTGGGTTCCCAGAGTGTGTGAGGAACAGAAAGGAGGCCTGTGTGGCTGGAGAAGAATGAGCATGGGAAGAGGCATGGGTGAGAGGTGATGAGGTCAGAAAAGTCCCAGGAGCAGATCTCACAAGGCCTTACAGAAATAATTAAGGAGGTGAGGCAGATCACTCGAAGCCAGGAGTTCCAGACCAGCCTGGGCAACATGGCAAAACCTTGTCTCTACTAAAAATACAAAAATTAGCTGGGCATGGTGAAGTGTGACTGTAGTCCCAGCTACTCTGGAGGCTGAGGCAGGAGAATCACTTGAACTCGGGAGGTGGAGGTTGCAGTGAGCCGAGATGGCACCACTGCACTCCAGCCTGGGCAGCAGAGCAAGACTGTCTCAAAAAAATGAATACATATAAATAAAAAGCAGTAACAAAGGAAGTGAGAATGTACTGTGAGTGACTTTAATAAGTAAGGACTGAACGCCTTCTCAGCTGCCGATAGCGTTACTACCAACCAGCTCAGCGATGCTGCTTTTCCCGGGGCTCACCTTTCTGTACACCAGCCCAGTGATGGCTGACCGCAGCCTCATCTGCAGCACCTTGAGCCGGTACATGTTCTGCTGTTCAAAGAGCGTTTGCAAGCAGGCCGAGAGGAACATCAGCACCGCAAGGAGGTAGCCCTTCCAGGCTGGAGGCTTGGGATCACCAATAAACTCCAGGAAAAGGCTTGCAGGGGAAGGAGGGACAAGGTACAGCTGGTGAGAGGAGGTACCCATGTGTGTTGCCTTTGCTCAAACCAGGCCAGGTGTGGAGGATCAGTCGGTGTGGCTTTTTCACAATCATGATCTTGGATATTTTCCCCCACTGTCCATGCTTCTCTTCAATCTGACTGTAGCTCCTCAAGATCAAGAGGTGGAGTTTTTGTCCCCACTTGTTATGGGCTAAATTGTGTCCTCACAAAATTTGTATGTTGAAGCCCCAACCCCCAGTACCTCTGAATGTGACTGTATTTGGAAATAGGGCCTTTAAAGAGGCAATAAAGTTAAAATGAGGTCATTAGGCTGGGCCCTCATCCAGTCTGGAGTCCTGATAAGAGGAGAAAATGTAGACACACGGAGAGACACCAGGGCTCACACAAAGGAAAGACCATGTGAAGACACAAGGAGGAGGTGGCCGACTGCACACCAAGGACGGAGGCCTCAGATGGAACCAACTTGCAGATACCTGATCTGGAACTCCCAGCCTCCACAATCAGGAGAAAATACATTTCTGTTGTTCAAGTTAGTCTGTGATGCTCCGTTATGGCAGCTGAGCAAACATCACTTGAATCTGGGCTGGCCACAAAACCAGCTTTGACCAACAGAGTAGAGTGGAGGTAAAGCTAGGCTGGCTCTGAGCCTCAAGAGAAAATGTGGCTTTTGGCCTGTTTCTTAGAACCCTACCAAGCAGCCACATAAACAAGTCTGAGCTAGCTTTTTGGAGGATGGGAACCCACGTGGAACAGACACTGCCACCCCAGCTTCAGATACACAACTGCAGGCACATGAGAAAAAAACACCCAAGGAAAGAAAAACTGCCCAGCTGAGCCCAGCCGAGCCCAGCCCATGTTACTGACCCACATTACCATGAACTAAATAAATGAATGGTTGCAATTTTAAGCCACTTGCTTTTAGGGCATTTTACAGCAAAAGCTAATTGATGCAGTCAGGTAAGAGCTTGCTTATTTGCCCTTCTGGGGGACAGTCACTTTCTCATTAATCATTTCCCTTCCTTAGTATCCTTCTCACCCACCCTCCAGTGTCCCGAGCACCAGATCTATAGGCAGAGGCAAGAGAGCTGGAGCCCCCTGGCTCTGGAAGGATGCCATTAAGAGACCACCAGCCTTAGCAGGGCACCTGAAGTCTGAACTCACCTCAGCAGCTTGGGGACAGTGAACCTGAAGACATCACTGATGACGAGGCTGAGGGTCCCCAGGAGGAAGGTAGAATGGAACACCTGCCAGATGGCCCTCAGCAGTGGACCCCGCTGGCTCCCTTCTTGCCGTAGGAAGGGCTCAGTCTCTGGAGCTTCCATGCCACCACCTCCTTTCCTTTCACACACCGTTGCCTTGGGGTGCCTTAAGGAAGGTGAGAGGTTGGTGCTGGGTCCCATTTTATACTCTCAGGCACCTGTGTCAGGACCAGGTATTAAAGGCTTGTTTTCTCAGCAATGCACGTGGGTGGGTGTGGAGCCAGCCTGGCTCCCTCACCTGTTCCTCCTTAACACCCTGAGTACCCACTTAAGAGGCAGTCACTGGAGTTGTGGGGGCAGGGCAAGAAGCCAGCTGTGAGGCCTCTTAGATGGCCATGGGAAAGCGCACATGTGGAGCACCTACTACATGCCAGGCACTCAGTCATCCTAAGACCCCTGGCAAGCCAGGTGTGGTTCCCATGTCACAGATGAGAAAACAGAGGCTCAGAGAAGTGAACTTGTCCAAGGGCACACAGCTGAGAAGTCAAAGAACTGGGATTTGATTCCAGCTGTCCGCCTCCACGGTCCACGCACTTTACTTTTCTTTTTTTTTGAGAAGTCTTGCTCTGTCGCCCAGGCGGGAGTGCAGTGCTGGGATCTTGGCTCACTGCAACCTCTGCCTCCTGGTTTCAAGTGATTCTCCCACCTCAGCCACCCGAGTAGCTGGGATTACAGGCAAAGGCCACCATACCCAGCTAATTTTTATATGTTTAGGAGACGGGGTTTCACCATGTTGGCCAGGCTGGTTTTGAAATCCTGACCTCAGGTGATCCGCTTGCCTCAGCCTTCCAAAGTTCTGGGATTACAGGCATGAGACACTGCGCCTGGCCTCCCATGTACTTTTCAATCTATTGTGTTGTCAACCTGGAGGAAGAACAGCACCCCCCGACCCCAACACACACACAACCAGCCAGCCCGTAGGTGGTTTTGAACTGGTAGAGAATCACAGCTGATGTGCATGGGGCCTGGTGCTCTGGCTCTGGGTGAAAGCACAGACAGAAGCTCAGGCTGCCTCAAACTCCTAAGATCCCCAGCCTTTGGCCATAACCAGGGTCCAAAGAGAAGAGCTAAAGTGAGGGATGGAGAGGAAGAGATAGGAGAGGAGAAAGGACCCATCAGGGGCAGGTCAGAAGCCACGGACCGTAAGGGAGATGCTGGGGCGATGCAGCTGCTGCTAGCTGGTTGCTGGTCTTGGGTGAGCGGACTGCTCCCCTTTCTGTGTGTGAGAGGATGGGTGTCATCCCCCCATGAGTCCCCTGTGGCTCTGACAATCTATAAGGTTATCAATAATTTTGTTGTTGTTGTTTTGAGATAGAGTTTCACTCTTGTCACCCAGGCTGGGGATCTTATGAGTTTGAGGCAGCCCCTGAGCTTCTGTCTGCTGTCACCTAGGCTGGAGTGCAGTGGCACGATCTCGGCTCATTGCAACCTCCGCCTCCCAGGTTCAAGCGATTCTTCTGCCTCAGCCTCTCAGAGTAGCTAGGATTACAGGTGCAACCACCATGCCCAGCTAATTTTTGTATTTTTAGTAGAGACGAGATTTCACTATGTTGGCTAGGATGGTGTTATACTCCTGACCTCAGGTGATCCACCTGCCTCAGCCTCCCAAAGTGCTGGGATTATGGGTGTGAGCCCCATTACAGATCTGTGACCAGGGGCCACAGGCTGGGATCAGCTCTCTACACAAAGTTGCTCACTGACTTCGCTGGAGCCCCTTGCCATGTGGGTACTATATTAGGCTCTCCATTTTACAGGAGGGGAAGGAAGCTGAGGTTCTGAGAGGTGGTGACAGTGGCTCAAGGTCACACAGCAAGGGCAGAGCAGGGATTAGAGGCTAGATCTTGACTTATGGTTCCTAGAGTGTTTTTTTGTGCACTAAGGACTCCCAACCCCACCATAATTAAAAAAAGAAGCATAAGAAAAATCCCCTTGTGAGCTCAGGTGGCAAGACCCTTCCAGGCCATGATCTTCGCCCCTCATTGCTGGCCTGATCTGGTGTTTGGTTTGGCATCTATGGAGGGTTGTGGCTCAGCTCTGTTACTAAGTGGGCATGGCCTGCTGCTCACAGGTAGTTTGGCATTTGGGTCTCAAAGCCAAGAAGATGCCCAAGATGTCCATGCAGACAGCATCCCTGACCTCCCTTCCTGTCTGAACCCACCATTTCGTTCATTGTCTACACAGCCTTGCCCATGGTGCCAACCCTCTCTTTGTCTTGTTAGAACCCCAGGTGGGTAGACTTGGCCTGAGTTTTCTACCAAGATGTCCCTAGTATAGAGACCAGCTCCTGCACACAGCAGGAGCTCAATAAACACTTGTCAAATAAATGGGAAAAGCAGACTGAGTGATATGTGTAAAAGGGCCTAACGAGAGTGCCCAGCACATACTGTTATAAACATTTACAGAAGAAAGGAGCCTGGCTGGGTGGACAGAACTTGGCTTTGGAGCCAGGAGACTATGGTTCCAATGCCTGCTCTGTCTTCTCTGAGCCTTAATGTTTCCATCTGTAAAATGGAATCAGGGAAGAGCTGACTGGGAAGTTTTCTTTCTGGCTGGAGGTTTTGCTCAGTTCTGTTCTAGCTGTTTTCCCAGAGAGTCAGCGTGTTCAGCCTGCAGGCTCCATAGCAGGCGTTTTCCTCTTCTGGAGGTCTCACCTCCCATCAAGGAAGAGGTCCAGATTGCTATCTGATGTCTGGTCTCTGGACTGAAGGCCATTTAGTGCAAGACTCACAAATGACCATGGGGCAAGGCAGGAGGTATGCATGAGTGACATGGGCAAGGTGTGACTTGGGGAATACAAAAGGGAGTGGTGGAGGCCGGGTATGGCGGCTCACACCTCTGATCCTAGCACTTTGGGAGACCAAGGCAGGCGGATCACCTGAGGTCAGGAGTTTGAGAGCAGCCTGATAGCCTGAGCAACATGGAGAAACCCCGCCTCTAAGAAAGAATACAGAAATTAGCTGAACCTGTAGGTGCTTGTGGTCCCAGCTACTTGGGAGGCTTAGGCAGGAGAATCATTTGAACCCGGGAGGTGGAGCTTGCAATGAGGCAAGATGGTGCCACTGCACTCCAGCTGGGGTGACAGAAGCAGAGAGAAGGAGGGAGGGAAGGAAGGAAGAAGGAGGGAGGAAAGGAAAAAGAAAAGAAAGAGAAGGCAGGAAGGAAGGAAGGAATGAAGGCAGGAAGCGGGGAAAGAGCGGAAGAGCGAGAGAGGTGGGGACGGACCGCGGCGAGGGGAAGTCTGCACACCTTGCCTAACGCCGCAGGCTCCACCCGAATCCCATCTCCTGCTGCCTCGTGAAGATGTGGCCTAGTGTTGCCAGATCTACTTGGAGAGAGACCAGAACTCCAGATTTTTATTTATTTGTATTTGTATTGTGTTTATTTTTGAGACGGAGCCTCACTCTGTCAGTCAGGCTGGAGTACGGTAGCCTGATCTCAGCTCACTGCAACCTCCACCTCGCGGGTCCAAGAAATTCTCCTGCTTCAGCCTTTCCAGTAGCTGGGATTACAAGCACTCACCACCACTCCCAGCTAATTTTTGTATTTTTAGTAGATACGAGGTTTTCCCATGTTGGCCAGCCTGGTCTCGAACTCCTGACCTGGTGTGATTTGCCCACCTTGGCCTCCCAAAGTGCTGAGATTTCAGGCATAAGCCACTGCACCCAGCCTTGATTACCAGATTTGTATGTGATCTCTAAATTTTTAAATACTAACAACTTATTAAAAAACAAAACAACATAAACAACCACAAAGCCCCCTGTGCGCCAAACATACCTTGTGAAGCTGACCTGACCAGCAGGTGGCTGTTGCATGACCTCTCAGGAGGACGTCCTCTCCCTTCCCCCAGTGGTTGCAAAATATTTCAGACAGAAAACCGAAGTTCTCTCTGGGTGCAGCCAGTCGGCTCCGAAGCTGACGGGGCCTGGTCTTTGCATAACCCCGTCATTCTCCTTTCTTTCTGTCAATTGCTTACGGGAAGATTCTCCAGCTGCTCTGGAGAATGTTGCTACCTTTTAATTCAAGTGTCAGGTGACCTGTAATTTTCATGTTGGCTGTGGATGCCAGGAGTTGGCAGGAGTTGGCAGAGGCTTGTTCGAGAGCCCCTGTGGACTGAATTCTGCCACTTCTGTAAAGTCATTTAAAAGTAGAGGGTAAATCAGGCACAGTGGCTCATGCCTGTAATCCCAGAACTTTGAGAGGCTGAGGCAGGCAGATCGCCTGAGGTCAGGAGTTCAAGATCAGCCTGGCCAACATGGCAAAACCCTGTCTCTACTAAAAAAAAATACAAAAATTAGCTGGTCATAGTGGTGCATGCCTGTGGTACCAGTCACACAGAAGGGTGAAGCAGGAGAATCACTTGAACCCAGGAGGCAGAGGTTGCAGTGAGCTGAGATCACACCACTGCACTCTAGCCTGGGTGACAGAGCAAGACTCTGTCTCAAAAACAAAACAAACAAACAACGACAACAAAAGTGGAGGGGGGTCCAGCAAGCTATGCCTGGGGTGAGAGAGAACTGATGTGTTCACTCACGCTACTTATTCTGTTTGGAAAAACACATGCCCTTCCTGTGTGGGAACAGCTCCTACCCTCTTCTGTGGCTCTGAAGGGACCACCAGTCATGGAACCAGGTTCCTGAGCATGAGATTGGCTCCTGACAGGCACACGACTTGAGCCAGGTCAATCAGAGGCCTTCCTTGGGATCCTCTATACGGCTGTTAGGAGAGATGCCCTCTCATTCTGCTGAGGTTTGCTGAACGTTCCCGGGAAGGGATAGGCCTATCGAGAGACCAACACATAGACAACAGCTGGGCTGGGAGACGAAGCGAGACAACCCTGACATCAAGTGAGTCCCCTGATCCAGCAGTACCTGAGGCTAGATCCTCTCAGCTATGTGAGCCTATAGTATCTGTCGCTTTCCTCTTTCTCCTAATGTGTGGGGTTCAGCCATCTGCAACAACTACCACAAAATCCCAGAGTGTACAGGGGAACCGTGGTCCTCTTCCTGTAGAGCTAACTTACTTTTGTTCTGTCTCCTGAAACACCAAGGTCCTGCGAGGTTAAGCAATGTGTCCAGGTCATCACTATTTGATGGCCAGGCAGCAGGTAACCCAATTTTTATCTAATCCTATGTTTCAGGCTAATTTCTCTAGACCAGACCTTCTCAGATGAGGCTCCCCAGGCTCTAAGGGCTGCAGAGAAGTTTCCAGAGAAGCCACTGAGGATAGTAGTGGACACACTGGATAACTCCAAAGATCTTCACACCCTCTGGATGACTAACAATGCTTGAGCACTTCCTATTTTCAAGAAATTTGCAAATTCTCTTCCAAAAATCAACTTTTTTTCATCCTCATAAGCAATGACCTGGGGCTGATGACATCCCCATTGAACAGATGAAAAAATTGAGTTCCAGGAAAGGCATGCTCAGGTTATACAGTGAGTGAGCAGCTGCCTGCATATGTGTCACCTCCCAACCCTCCACCCAGGTCTTAAAATGCCTCTCCTGTTTCCTGACTGTCTTCTGCTGTGAGTTTCCCATTTGTAGGAACCTGTGAGGCATTCTGGCAGGAACCATATCTTGAGCCTGATCAGTTACTACTTAGTGGGATCAGCTGGAAGGCAAGATTGGGGCGGAGGGCGGTGGCGGGGGGGGGGGGTGGTGGTGGTGGTGGTGGGAGGGGTGGGGTTGGCAGTGCAGCTGAGAGTAGTGTCGGGGGCTAGACTGGAGGTCAAAGGATGAGATTTTCTGACGGAGCATCAGGTGAGTTCTTGATCTCCACACACTTACCTCCGGGTTGCACTGCAGATCTTTATCCACTCCTTTTCAAGCCGGGCAACAAGTTCTTCTGAGGAGTTTTCACGCCCAAGCGACCAGAGATCTTTTGGTCTCAGTGGCTTCCTGTAGCCTTTCCAGACCAGCCTGTAAAAGAGGGCATCAGGACAAGCTCCTTCTGCCATTCACCCCTGCAGGATCCTGGCCAGGCCAGCAGCTGTGTGACCCTGAATAAGTCACTTTATCTCTCTGTACTCTACTGGCCCTTGGGTAAAATGAAAGCAATTCACTAACCTCACCTAACATTTGTGGGGCACTTCTCGGTTCACAGAGATGGTCCCATTCATTAATTCTTATGTGAGCGCATAGGGTGGTTTTTTGTTTTGTTTCATTTTTGAGATAGAGTCTTGCTCTGTTGCCGGGCTGGAGTGCAGTGGTGTGATATTGGCTCACTTCAACCTCTACCTCCCGGGTTCAAACGATTCTCCCACTTCAGCCTCCCGAGTAGATGGAATTACAGGCACCCACCACCACATCCAGCTAACTTTTGTATTTTTTGTAGAAACTGGGTTCACTATGTTGGCCAGGCTGGTCTTGAACTCCTGGCCTCAGGTGATCCACCCATCTCAGCCTCCCAAAGTGCTGGGATTATAAGCATAAGCCACCACACCCAGCCTGTAAATTGATAGTTTATAATTGCATAAATGTATATTATTACAGATGTGTTTTACAAATGGAGAAGGAAATAGAAATAGAGAGATTAAGTAACTAAAGTAAGGGACATCCCTCGGCAAGGGAAACAGACATTTCCCTGGGAGTCATAAGTCCAGCATCCAAAACTATCATTGTAGAAGAAACCTGAATTCCTTCCTCAGCTTTATTTTACTATTATTGTTATTTTTGAGACAGAGTCTTGCTCTGTTGCCCAGGCTGGAGGGCAGTATTGCAATCTGGGCTCACTGCAACCTCTATCTCCCTGGTTTGAGCGATTCTCATGCCTCAGCCTCCCGAGTAGTTGAAATTACAGGCACCTACCATCATGCCTGGCTAATTTTTGTGCTTTTAGTAGAGATGGCATATTGCCATGTTGGCCAGGATGATCTCAACCTACTGGCCTCAAGCAGTCCTCCTATCTCAGCCTCCCAAAGTGCTGGGACTACAGGTGTAGGCCACCACACCCAGCTAATTTTTGTGTTTATAGTAGAGACAGGATTTTGCCATGTTGGTTAGGCTGATCTTGAAATCGTGGCTTCAAGGGATCCATCTGCACTGGCCTTCCAAAGCGCTGGGATTATGGGTGGAAGCCACCGGGCCTGGTCTCAGGGTTTTTTTTTTTTTTAGACAGACTTTCGCTCTTGTTACCCAGGCTGGAGTGCAATGGTGTGATCTCAGCTCACTGCAACCTCCGCCTCCGGTCTCAGGTATTTTTAATCTTTCTGTTGACACCAGCCAGAATGTCTTGCCTGGTTCTGGTCTCTGACTCTTCTCTAAGCCTCACCAAATTCCCTTTTCTATTTTTTTTTTTTTTTTAATTTTTTGAGATAGAGTCTCACTCTATTGCACAGGCTGGAGTGCATTGGTGTGATCTTGGCTCACTGCAGCCTCTGCCTCCCAGGTTCAAGTGATTCCCCTGCCTCAGCCTCCTGAGTGGCTGGGATTATAGGCACCCACCACCACACCATGCTAATTTTTATATTTTTAGTAGAGACAGGATTTCACCATGTTGATTAGGCTGGTCTCGAACTTCTGACCTCAGGTGATCCACCTGCCTCAGCCTCCCAAGGTGCTGGGATTACAAGCATGAGCCACTGTGCCCGGCCACCAAATTCCCTTTTCTAATGCAGAGCCAAACTTGAGGAAGCAACTGTTCTGACAGAAATTATTAACATTGCTTGATTTTCCCTGGAATTATTTTTGGAATTCTCCTATATGGTAAGTGATACTATAGATTTTTCCTATTTTGGCAGTTACAGAAACTTTCTTTTTAGAAACAGTTTATTAGAGTAAAAAAAAAAAGTGATTCAATTTAATTATTGCCCCAGTAGATAAAGCATGAAGAGTGGTGCATAAATGCTTAAGTTTGGGAAGCAGGGGCTGGACCCCCCAGTAGCACTGTTTAGAAAACGTTTCTACCAATTCCACACATCCAAAGCCTGGTATTTTTCATTTATTTAATAACCACTTAGGCCGGGTGCAGTGGTTCATGCCTATAATCCCCAGCACTTTGGGAGGTCATGCCATTGTACTGCAGCCTGGGCAACAAGAGTGAAACTATGTCTGAAAAAAGAAGAATAGGCCAGGGGTGGTGGCTCATGCTGTAATTCCAGCACTTTGGGAGGCCAAGGTGATGGACCACTTGAGGTCAGGAGTTCAAGACCAGCCTGACCAATATGGAGAAACCCTGTCTCTACTAAAAATACCAAACCAGCCAGGCACGGTGGTATATGCCTGTAATCCCAGGTACTTGGGAGGCTAAGGCAGAATAGGAGAATTGCTTGAACCTGGGAGGTGGAGGTTGCAGTGAGCCAAGATTGCATTATTGCACTCCAGCCTGGGCAGTAAGAATGAAACTCCATCTCAAAATAAATAAATAAATAAAAATTTAAAAACAATAACCACTTATACTGATTATGTGCCAGGCCCCCTTTTTTTTTTTTACACAGTCTCGCTCTTGTCACCAGGCTGGAGTGCAGTGGCGCGATCTCGGCTCACTACAACCACTGACTTCTGGGTTCAAGGTGATTCTCCTGCCTTGGCCTCCTGAGTAGCTTGGACTGTAGGTCCCTGCCACCATGCCCAGCTAGTTTTTGTATTTTTAGTAGAGATGGGGTTTCACCATGTTGACCAGCATGGTCTTGATCTCTTGACCTTGTGATCCTCCCACCTCGGCCTCCCAAAGTGCTGGGATTACGGGCATGAGCCACCGTGCCTCTTCCAAGCCCTGTTCTAAGTGCTTTATAGAATTTATCCTATTTAATCTTCACAACTCTACGAGGTAAGTGCTATTATTAATCCCATTTTGAAGGAATGGAGACTAAGGCACAGAGAGGTTAAGTAACTTGCCCAGAGCTACACAGCTAGAAGTGGTAGGGCCAGGATTGAACTCCACGTGTCCTGTGCTTCTGAGGACTGGATGCAGTGTGGTCAGGAGGGGGCACATCCTCAAGTGCCTGCTGAGCTGGCCACGGAGAGGCAGCTGGTTCCTCCATCTGCCTGGAGCCTCCGGGAAGTAGACACTTCCTCCTTTATCTCCTTGCCCCTGGTGCTTAGCACATAGTAGGTGCTTATTAAATACTGGTGGAATGACTGAAGCCAAGTAGTGGAGACAATTCTATTACTATTAAGCACCTGCTGTGTGCCAGCGCTAAGCACTTTGTGACTCATGATGGTTGAGTCATCCCCATTTTACAGAGGGGAATACTGAGACTCTGGGGCGTGTGACATGGCCTGCTGAGAGGCAGAGGCAGGATTTGAATCCAGATCTCACTCCAGTGACTGAGTGGGAACAAGATGTAGACAGTGGACCCTGAACACGAAGAAGAAGAAAGCGCCAAGGCTGGGATAGAGAAAGCCTGGCTGGCCTTTGTGAGCATGGGGGGAGCCTCATAGGGGAAGAGCCATGGGTGGAAATCAGTGCAGCAGACGCAGGTAGGTGACGCACCCCCCAACCCTTCCCTGTGACTTTACTTACCCAGAAACCCACCAGAACATGGCTTTGGAGGGGAAGGATGCCCCCGCCTCTGGACAGGGATTCTGCAACAGACAAAAGTGGAGAAGAGGGAAGCCTTGGTCTCACATCCCGTGGTGAGTGTGTGGGAAGGGCAGGAAGATTTTTTTTTTTTTTTTTTTTTTTTGAGACAGGATTTTGCTCTGTCACCCAGGCTGGAGTACAGTGGTGTGATCTTGGCTCATTGCTACCTCTACCTCCCAGGTTCAAGTGATTCTCCTGTCTCAGCCTTCCAAAGAGCTGGGATTACAAGTGTGCACCACCACACCTGGCTAATTTTTCTGTATTTTTAGTAGAGACAAGGTCTCACCATGTTGGCCAAGCTAGTCTCAAACTCCTGACCTCACGTCATCTGCCCACCTCGGCCTCCCAAAGTGCTGGGATTACAGGTGTGAGCCACCTCACCCAGCCCTGACTGTGTATTTGGTACTGAAAGTACACATTGGGGTGCCCTGTCTCCTTCCCAGGGGTGCACACCAATGAGCTTGGTGCTTCCCAGCAGGCAGGGCGAAAAGGGACTGGGCCACAGCACTGACAATGTCTCCAAGGTAAGAAGTCACCATGGCTCAGAAGAACAACTGTGATTACACTGAAACCAAAACCTTGCTTTGCTTCTCAAAGCAGGGACCCTGCATAAGGAAGACAGTGAGGTTCTTGACAACATCCCTCAGCAAATGCTGTGGTGAGACCTGTGCTGCGATTTTGTCAGCTGCTCCAGGGAGATTACACCAGCCTGTACTCTTTACCAGTAAGGCATGACGGTGTCCATTTCACCGTGTCTTTGCCATCATAGCTTATCAGTTGTTAAATTTTGTTGACACTCAGATGAAGAAAGATTCCCATGATAGTTTTAACTATATTTCTTAAGCATTCAAGCAAACTTTTTTTTTTTTTTGAGACAGGGTCTCGCTCTATCTCAAAAAAAGTTACCCAGGCTGGAGTGCAGTGGTGCGATCATAGCTCATTGCAGCCTTTACCTCTGGGACTCAAGCAATCCTCCTGCCTCAGCCTCCACACAGCTGCTCTATGGGACTCCACAGAGCTACTCTGTAGTGGGACTACAGGCGTGCGCCACTAAACTTGGTTATTTTTTAAAAAACGTTTTGTAGAGATGGGGCCTCACTACATTGCCTAGTCTGATTTAGAACGCGTGGGCTCAAGCAAACCTCTTTCCTCGGCCTCCCAAAGCATTGAGATTATAGGCATGCTCCACTGGACCTGGGTCATCTGAACATCTGTTTATATGATGTCAGATCAGTCTCTTCCTCAAAATAATTATTTCTTGATTTCACAGATTGCTTCAGTATTAACCTGTTGTAAAACTCCCATGAACTTCTCCTACAGAGCAATTACCCCAGGGGTAATTTTCTTTCTTCTTCTTCTTCTTTTTTTTTTAGAGATGAAGTTTTGCTCTTTGTCGCCCAGGCTGGAGTGCAGTGGTGCAATCTCAGCTCACTGCGACCTCCACCTCCAGGGTTCAAGTGATTCTCCTGCCTTAGCCTTCCAAGTAGCTGGGATTACAGGCAGGTGCCACTATGCCTGGCTAACTTTTGTAATTTTAGTAAAGACAGGGTTTTACCATGTTGGCCAGGCTGGTCTCGAACTCTCGACCTCAGGTGATCCATGTGCCTTGGCTTCCCAAAGTGTTGGGATTACAGGCATGAGCCACTGTGCCCAGCCAATTTTCAACATATTTGTTTAATTATGTGAGTAATCTCTAGTTCCCCTACTTGACCACTAGCTACATGAGAACAGGAACTCGATCTGCTTGTTCACCACAGATCCTTAAGCCCTTGCTGGGGCATAGTGGGGGTGAGCAATCTATGACCAAATCTGGCCCACTGCCTGTTGCTGCAAATTAAGTTTTATTGCAAGACAGCCATGCAATTTGTTGACATACTCTGCTTTTATGTGCAGCGGCAGAGTTAAGGAGTTTCCACAGAGATCACTATACGGCTTACCAAATCTAAAATATTTTCTCTTGCCGCGAACACAAAACGTCTGCCAACTGTGGCACTGACTAGAAATGCAATTTCACATTTTGCTGAATGGTGAAATGAATAAAAAATTAAAGGCTCTGGGTCACATGGGGGAGACTGAGACCTCAACGTGGAAGAGGAATGAGGTTGGAACTTGGTGACTTACAGACTGCTGGGGGTCCTTAGGGAAGAAGGGTGGTTGATCCGCCAGGCAAGACAGCACAAACTGTGCCACCACTAGAGACAAGCACAGATAGGTGGACAGGTGGCGGATCGGGTCACTCTGGAAGCCCTGTGAGAGAGAAAGCAGAAGGTAAGTCATGGAGGCAGAGGAGGGTTCTCAGAGAAAAGGTTTCTAATGGCGGGGTCAGTGTCTATGCTGGGGACCAGGGCAAGAGGATTTGAAAGACAGAGCCCTGGCATTCCTAGGGGTCCTAACGTTCTTTTCTTTTTTGTGGTGGGGGGGTGGAGTCGCGCTCTGTCACCCAGGCTGGAGAGCAGTCAGTGGTGTGATCTTGGCTCACTGCAACCTCTGTCTCCTGGGTTCAAGCGATTCTCCTGCCTCAGCCTCCCTGGGTGGTTGGGATGACAGGTGCCCACCACCACGCCTGGCTAATTTCTGTGTGCTTGTAGTAGCTGCGCTTTTCTTGCTTCCTTTGACTCCTGGGGAAGCCAAGGCTCAGAGAGACCCCTTGTTTCAAGGACACACAGATGATCTGGTCCAAATGGCGATAAACCTGCTGCCACATCCCGATGACTTCTGCATCTGCTGCCCTGACATCTGCTCATAAACACTCGAATTTCATTTCTTTTTTTAATTTAAAAAAAATTTTATTTTTTAATTTTAGGTGTATTATATATGTGTATTTGTGTGTGTGTGTATATATATATATGTATATGTATATGTATATGTATATGTATATGTATATGTATATGTATATGTATATTTTGAGACAGAGTCTTGCTCTATCACCCAGGCTGGTTGTGGAGTGGCATGATCTCAGCTCACTGCAACCTCCGCCTCCTGGGTTCAAGCAATTCTCCTGCCTCAGCGTCCCGAGTAGCTGGGATTACAGGTACATGCCACAAAGTCTGGCTAATTTTTGTATTTTTCGTAGAGATGGGGTTTCACCATGTTGGCCAGGCTAGTCTCAAACTCCTGACCTCAGGGGATCCACCCGCCTCAGCCTCCCAAAGTGCTAGGATTACAGGTGTGAGCCACTGTGTTCAGCCCAGAGCCCTAGTTTCAAATAGCAATTTCTCTACTGGATTTTTTACTCTTCTAGGTTTTTTTGGTGTTATTATTATTTTTTTTTTTTTGGCAGATAGGAGACCATTGGCTATTCCAGTGACAATATGGCCCATCTTCCCTAAACTGACACTGTCTTCCCCACCTTCTATGAGAAAGTTTGTTCTGCATTTGCCTGAGATGAGCTTGGGCTCTGCACGCCCCAGCTGTGTGGCCCTGAGGCCGTCATTCCCTTCTCCTAGCCTTAGTTTAAAATGGCCTGTTAGAATCCATCACTGGCTGCGCACATTGGCTCAAGCCTGTAATCCCAGCACTTTGGGAGGCTGAGGCAGAAAGATCACTTGAGCCCTGGAGTTTGAGACCAGCCTTAGGAACATAGTAAGACTTTATCTCTATTTAAAAAAAAGAAAAAAGAATCCATTACTGTGCCCTGTTGTGAGAATCCAATGGGACAGGTGTGTAAGTGCCTGCCACAGGACCTGGCACATGCTTGGAACCCCAGAGTGTAAATGGTTCCAGTATTATTGTTTCTATGCTGTGTCCCAAAAAGCTGACTTAGGTCAACTGTGGGAGCCCAGCCTTTCAGAAATTACTGAATAACCTGTGGAATTTCCCCTTAGTTACAAAGGTTACTCTTTTAAAAATGCTATCCTTGGTCAGGCGCTGTGGCTCACATCTGTAATCCCAGCACTTTGGGAGGGCAAAGTGGTGGATTACTTGATGTCAGGCATTCCAGACGAGCCTGGCCAACATGGTAAAACCCTGTCTGTACTAAAAATACAAAAATCAGCTGGGCGTGGTGGCACACACCTGTAATCCCAGCTACTTGGGAGGCTGAGGCACGAGAATCACCTGCACCGGGAGTTGGAGGTTGTCGTGAGTCAAGATCATGCCACTGTACTCCAGCCTGGGCGACAGAGCAAGCTTCTCAGAATAAATAAATAAAATAAACAAACAAACAAAAAATAAAAACTTTGTCCTTAAGGACAGGATGATGTTTCTCTACCTTCTTTAGGAGCAGGATGGAGTAGCCACTGGACTCCAGAAATGATCTGTAAGTCCAGACGTGCTGGCTCACACCTATAATCCCAGCACTTTAGGAGGCTGAGGTCAGAGAATTGCTCAAACCCAGGAGTTCAAGATCAGCCTGGGCAACAAAGAACGACCTTTTTTCCACAAAAATAAAATAATAAAGTGAAATATCTGCAACCTGCTGCAGCCTGGTCATTGGTGTCAAGATAGCCCCTCTCCCCGAAGCCTTGGCTATATACTGGTGGGGCCAGTGACCCTCAACAGGTGGGCGACACTCCCCGGGACATGTAATATCGGGAGACATTTTGGGTTACTGCAATTGGATGGTATGCTACTGGCATCTATGAGTGGAAGCCAGAGATGCTGTTTCACACCCTCCAGCAAACAGGACACCCAACAAACAGTCATCTGGCCACAGTGTTACTAAAACTGAGGTTGAGAAAAGTTGGTGTAGACTACCTGTTTTTCTCTTTACAGAGAAAATGACCCATCATGTCTCCTAATAAAGAAATGCTGCTTCCAGCTGGGCACATTGGCTCACGCCTGTAATCTCAGCACTTTGGGAGGCCGAGGCAGGTTGATCACCTGAGGTCAGGAGTTCAAGACCAGCCTGGCCAACATGGTGAAACCCCATTACTACTAAAAATACAAATATTATCTGGGTGTGGTGGCACACACCTGTAATCCCAGCTACATGGGAAGCTGAGGCAGGAGTGTCACTTGAACCTGGGAGGCAGAGGTTGCCGTGAACTAAGATCATGCCAGTGCACTCCAACCTGGGCGACAGTGTGAGCCTCTCAAAAAAAAAGCTGCTTCCCAGATTGGGCAACAGAAATAACAGAAATATGGGTGGGTGTGCAGAATGAGTGTGTAAACACAGATGCCTAGGAATGAGGGGAGGGTGAGAACATGAGATGAGGGAGGTGTGCATGTAGGGTAATGTGTGCACACAGGAGTGTCTCTGCCCAGGTTGTGTTTGTGCGTGCATGCATATGCTTGTGATGTATGAATTGGTGCATTAAGTGTGTGCCCCGGGTGCAAGTGGAGTGTGTGATGTGCGTGTGTAAGACAACAGGAAACCGTGTTGATGAGAAATGTATGGAATGACGGGTACTTACAGGTGTGGAAGTGGACTTTGTGTCTCTAGAGTGTAAGTGACTGGCCTGTGTGTGTCGCTCAGTTGAGAATAAGTCGTATGTGGAAACGGGAGGAGGAAGGATGAGACCCAGGGCCTGAGCCAGCCTTTTGGTTTCCAGGGTGGCCCATGCCCCCACTTACCCCTCCGGAGGCCTGCTGGATGGCGCGGGTAGCTGGCAAGACAAAGCAGAGAAGCCAGTACCCAAACAGCACTCCAGATGACTGGATTCCCTTCTTCCTCTCGGTGTGAATCAGGAACACGGCGAAGCTCTGGATGGGAAAGTCAGGACAGGCCCCTTGGGGGACGGTGGGGGGCAGGCGAGCCTCTTCTCCTCCCCTGGTTTTCCACCGCGGCAGGCAAAGCAGCAGCTGGGATCAAGCCCCGCTCCAGACGGAAGCCATCCTTACCATCGTGGTGAGCCACACCGTAGGGTGAATGAGGGATTCCGGGGCCTCGGGCTTTCCCTGCTGGATTTTCCACAGAGCGACAGCCACGCTGGAGGTACACAGGACCATGAGGGCGAACCCAAGCACCTGGAAAGACGGGCTTAGATAGGCTTGGGGGGCAATAAGAGAGGTCACAGAAAACGAGTGGGTGACCCCACGTTCATGTGGGAGCTGGTTCTGGGGGGCAATAAGAGAGGTCACAGAAAACAAGTGGGCGACCCCACGTTCATGTGGGAGCTGGTTCTGGGACATTCCAGCTGGGGCCCTGTCATGAACCAATATCACCAGCTAGCAATGTGCCAACGTAAACAATGTGTAAAGGGCATTGCAGGTCAGTCCTGATGTGTAATTGTCTTGTAAATAATGCACAGCAAGGCCTTGAGCCAACTGAGTGTTTTCCACCGTGCAGGGTGTGCTCCAGTCATGCACAGGCGAGACGACTGTGGGTGTGAAGAAACAGCAGATGAAATGTACTCACTGGGTAAAAAACTATCCTCTCTCCAGGTTATTTTCAATCCCTGCTATGAAATCAAGGAGAGATTTACTGGCCCAACCCATCTTTGTTGGGCCAGTAAGTCTCTATGGTCCCTAATATAGGTGGGTTTCTCTGCTGAATGAAATGAAGGAAAAGTGAGAGAATACCTACACACCAGAGGGACGGCCAGAGCTCAGGCGCATCGGAGGAACTGCTCAAAGAACCTCAGGTTAAAGCAGAGGCTGGCAAACTATCAATCACTGAAGTAAAATAAAAACCATATGTCATGACAGGTAAAAATTACATGAAATCCAACTTTCAGTGACTACAAAGGAAGGTTTATTGAAACACAGTTAGCTGGGCGCAGTGGCTCACACCTGTAATCCCAGCACTTTGGGAGGCTGAGGCAGGCAGATCACCTGAGGTCAGGAGTTGGAGACCAGCCTGGCCAACATGGTGAAACCCTGTCTCTACTAAAAATACAAAAAATAGTGAGGTGTGCTGCTGGACGCCTGTAATCCCAGCTACTTGGGAGGCTGAGGCAGAAGAATCGCTTGAACCCAGGAAGAGGAGGTTGCAGTGAGCCAAGATCCTGACATTGCATTCCAACCTGGGTGACAAGAGTGAAACTCCATCTCAAAAAAAAAAAAAGTAAGAAAGAAATACAGTTATGACTGTTGTCTACGGTTGTGCCTACTGCATTCAGGCTGCAGAGCTGAGTGTTTGGAAGGAAGCCTGCCTGGCTGACAAAGCCTCAAGTACTATGCGATGCGCGGCTCCTTAAGTTTGCCAACCCCTGGTTTGGTGGTGGGTGATGACGCAAAGATTAACACTATGGCAGAAGAAGGAATGAACTCTGAAGAACATTCTTTAGAGCCTACAAGAACAGAGGAGAAGGGGACGGATGAGCAGAAAGGCTCACACTTGCAATGCCAGTGCTTACGCAGCACACTGAAGTAAATACGTACCACTTAGGAAATTGTTCTATAACACAGCCAGTGGGGAAACAGAAAAATCAATGCATGACTTTTAAAAGGCTCATCCTAATGTGGTCCGAAAATTAACCTTGCGGATCCGAGTCTACACAGTACTTTTGGAAAATGGCCAGGTTATGGTAGTTATCAACTGTCTGGGAACATGGGAATGTGTGTGTGTGTTTGTGCAAGCATGGAGTTTTGGAATTACAAAATCTGTTTGGGAGAACTGTGTCCCACTGAGTTGGCCTCTGGCGCCTCTCTAATATTGCTCTGTTTGATGAACAGAGTCCCTCCTACATCCTGATAGGAGGAGTCTACTTTAGGACTCCACCAAGTTCCAGCCTGTCCCTGCTTCCCCCACCACTGCCTGGTTCCAGGCTCCCAGGGATGGCAGGTACCATCTTGGCTTTGAAGAGTGGGGACATCCGGAGGTAGCCCCGGCCATGGTGGTGGATGAAGAGGAGGTAGATGGGGCCGAGGACCCAGAGGTACATGGGTGGCACCCATACTCCTGCTGTTCTCAGGAAGCACAGATTCAGCAGACTGGTGGCGGCAGGTTCAGGCTCTGTCTGGTTCCAGACCTGAGGGAACACCAGGAGGACTCTCAGGAATATAGAGGGCAGGGGTCTCCAGCTCACCCGCCCAGGGGGCCTGGCGACTTTTTGGATCTCTAACATTTACACAGAAATGTACCAAGCACTCTTTGGAATACCTAATAATTTTCAACTCCTTTCATCCTGACATCAACCCTAGGTAGATGCAATTATCATATTGATTTGCAGATGAAGAAGCTGAGGATCAGAGAGGTTGAGTAGCTTGGCTGACTTTACCCAGCTGAGAAGTGGAAGGGCTGGGATTTGAACCCAGGGAGCTGGGCTCTGAGGTCTAGGAGACCTGGGCTCCATAATTATTGCTAGGTGTGGACTGTCAGTTAATCCTTATAACAACTCTAGGACATAGGCCATACTGTCCCCATTTCAGAGACCAGCAGACTGAGGCACCAAGAGGGGAACTGCCTCCCTCAGGGCCACACAAATGGGAAGCAGCAGAGCTGACTCTGACCCAGGCTTATCTGACCCCAAAGCTTGTCCGACTGGTGATCCTGATGTGATTTATTTTTATTATTATTTAATTTATGTTTTAGAGACAGAGTCTCACTCTGTTGCCCAGGCTGCAGTGGCACAATCAAAGCTCACTAAAGCTTTGAACTCCTGGGCTCCATCAATCCTCCCACCTTGGCCTCCCAGAGTGCTCGGATTACAGGCATAAGGCCCCTCCCCTGGCCTGGATAATTTTTTTTTGTTTTTTTTTTTAAGTGTTTTGTAGAGAGAGAGGTCTCACTACATTGCTCACACTGGTCTGGAACTCCGGCCTCAAGCAATCCTCCTGACTCAGCCTCCTAGGTGCTGGGATTACAGGCAACGAGCCACTGCGCCCAGCTTCATCTGTTGTTTTTATCTCAGCAGTTCTGCTGGTCCTATCTAACCTTAGAGGAAATTTGAAGTTTAGTGGATGTGGCCTCTCCACTTCTCTCTCTGCTGTCTTTTTATTCTCCCTGGTTTCACAACCCACTGGCTCTGCAAACTTTAACCTCTGTGCCTCAGTTTCCTTCCCTGCAAAAGGGGGATGAGACTCTACCTCTATGAGTTGTATTAAATGGATTAGCAGCAGCAAAGTTCACAGCAGTGTGGCACATGTTGGGCACAAGGCTAGGCACAGAGGATCCCTCAATTCATACCAGCCTATTGCTTCACCTCCCTGGCCCTCAGAATGCCGGGAGGTAATGAACAGTATTACAGGGAGATGCAACCCGCCCCCCGCCCCCCATGCACTCCACTCCCTGGAATCCTTTGCTAAGAGCAACGGGAAAAGAAACCAGAGAGGTAAGTGCTCCCTGGGGGTAGGAGAGCGTGGGGGACCCACTAGCTTTACGCAAATAAGGGCCAAAGCCCCTAGAAGCTGGGCGGTCTGGGGGCCCCTTAAACAGAGCTGGAGTATCGGGGCCGGCTTGGTGAAAGGGGCCCAACCCGTGCAGTTGGGGGCCTGAAGTAAGTCTCCTCGCTTCCGGGTCCAGGAATTTGGGGGTCCCTCCTCTCCCCAGGATTGCAGCCGGAGAGATCTGCAGCCAAGCCTGGAAAAGGAGAGCGGGGCGCGACGTGAGGGGCGCTCACCTCCGGCTCCACGCAGGGCTCGCCAGGCGCGGCCATGGGCGCCTCGGCTGTCCCGGGTCCCCGCGCCTGCCTGTGGGTCGGTGTCTGAACCGACTCCGCGGTGCCCCTGCCAGGGAAGGGGCGGGGCGGGGCAGTTCCGGCTGAAATTGGACCTCGGAGATCAGAAGGCCCCGGGCAAGGTCCAGCTGCCCGGCGCGGGTGGAGCCACAGGGGGTGAAAACAGGTAGGGGCGGGAGGGGGGCGCGCTCGGGGGAGCTGGAGCAGGCACCTGGGGGGGATCCCGGAACCCCTGAAAGTTCGGTGACGCGCCCTTAGCTCCCTCTTCCCCCTGCAACAAGAATCACTCCAAACTTCCCACACGCTTGGGACCCAGCAATTCCAGCTTCTCCTGATGAGAGAACTCCAAGGTCTGTGAGCTCGTTCATAACATCCCGTGGGGGAGAAGACGCTATGCCTCCCAGCGTCGCAGGGCAGGTACGCCCCGCTGTGACATTGTTTGCTGCACTCAGGGAGGGAGAGTAGAATATTCCTCCTGATGTCACAGGGAGTGTACACCCCCAAGTGATATTGTTCATAATATCGAGGGGAGGAGGAGATGCTATTCCTCCCAATATCGCAGGAAGTGCGCACCCTTCTTGGATCCTGTTCATAATATCCAGGAAGGGAGAGGATGATATTCCTCCCGATACTGCACGAGTTGTTCGCCCCCAGTGATATTGTTCATAATATCCAGTGGGGGGAGAGGATAATATTTTTCCCAATATCATAGGGGTGGGGGGTACAATGCCCTGTGATACTGTTCGTAATATCCAGGTGGGGAGAGGGTAATATTCCTTCCAATATTTCAGGAAATCTGCACCCTCCTGTGATATTGCTCATAATAGCCACGCATGGAGAGGATGACATGACTGTCAGTCTTGCAGAGTGTACACCCCCTATGATATTGCTCCTAATATCAAGAAGGGGAGATATTATTCCCAATATTGTAAGCACTGTGTGTGTGCACCCTCTGTGATATTTTTGTAATATCCAAGGGGAGAGGATGATACTACTCCCGATACTGCAGAAGGTGTACACCCACCGGTGATATTCTTCAAATATCCAGGAGGGGAGATGCTGATATTCCTCTATCTCAGGAATACACATTTCCCCGTGAAATTGTTCATAATATCCCAAGAAGGAGAGGATGATATTCCTCCCAATATTGCAGGGGGTGCACATTTCCCTGTGAGACTGATCATATTTAGAGGGGGAGGGGATATTCCTCCCAATATGGCAAGGGGTGTACACCTCCTTGTGATATTGTTCGTAGTATCTTGGGGAGGGAGAGAGAGGATGATATTCTTCCCAATATCACAGAATCTGTGCACCGTTCTGTGATATTGTTCATAATATCTGGGGGCAGGGAGAGAGGATGATATCCCACCTAATATCGCAGATAATGTCCACATTCTCTGTGATATTGTTCTTAACATTAAGTGGAGGAGACGATATTTTTCCCAATGTCGCATTGGGTATACATCTCCCTGTAATACTGTTCATTACCTCGGTGAGGAGAGGATAATGTTCCTCCTAACCTCACAGAAGGTGTACATCCCCCCATGATATTGTTCATAATATCCAGGGGAGGAGAAGATGATGTTCCTCCCAATATCGCAGGGGTGTACAATTTCTTGTGATATTGTTCCTTATGTCCAAGGAGAGAGACAATGACACTTTCCTCAGTGTCGCAGGGGAGGTACACACCCTTGTGATATTGTTTGTAATATCCAGGGTGGGAGCGGATAATACTGCTTTTCATATTACAGTGGGTGTACACCCCCTGCAATATTGTTTGTAACATCGGGCGGGGCGGGGAGAGGCTGTTACTCCCATATCGCAGGGGGTATACACCCCTGTGATACTGTCCACAACATCCAGGGGAAAAGAAGATGACATTACTACCCATATCACGAGCGGTATACACCCTCCTGCGATATTGTTCGTAATGTCCAGGAGGGGAGAGGATGATGTTACTCCCATATCGCAGGGGTGGACAACCTGTGATACTGTTTGTAACGTTCGGTGGGGGAGAGGATCATGTGAGTCCGAATATCGCAGACTGTGGACAGCCCCCTGCAATGTTGTTCATAATGCCCAGGGGGAAAGAGGATGATGTTAGTCCACACATTGCAGGGGTGTACGCCCTCCTGCGATATTGTTCATAATATCCGGTGGGAGAGAGAATAATGTTACTCCTCATATCACAGAACGTGTACACCCCTCTGTGATATTGTTCATAATATTTGGGGGGGGAAGGATGATGTTACTTTTCATATCACAGGGGGTGTACACCCCTGCAATATGGGAATATACACCCATATTGTGATATGGTGTACACCCTCTGCAATATTGTTCATAATATCCAGGAAGGGAGAAAATGATGTTACTTCCCATATCGTGTTCACACACCTCTGCAATATTGTTCATAACACTCATAGGGCAAGAGGATGGTATTACTTGCCACATTGCAGAGGGTGCACACCCTCCTGGGAAATTGTTTGTAATATGCAGGGCATGAGAGGACATTTTTTGCAATATCGCCAACACCCTGTGTGTACAATCCCCTGTGATACTGTTCATAATATCCAGCAGAAGACAGGATGATATTACTCTGCACAGGGAAGGAGTGTACATTCCCCTGTGATATTTTTCATCATGTCCAGTGTGGGAAAGGATGATACAACTTCCAATATGGCAGGAGGTGTAAACTCCACTGTAATATGATTCACAATATTTAGGGGGAAAGAGGATATTATTACTTCCAATATCGCAGGGGTTGTATACCCACCTTGTGATATTGTTTGTAATATCCACGAGGTGAGAGGATGATATTACTCCTAATATCACAAAGAATATACACCACACCCCCTGGTTGTGGGGGGCACACGGCAACGTATTCAAGCTTATGTACATGGCATTTGAGGTCAGGGCATGGAAAAATACTGAGGCACTGTGTGTATGTTATTTGTGCATGACAATGAAACAAATTTTGTAGCCTGGGCACTTAAGCTATCAGCCCAATTTGAGAGGAGAAACATTAATATGAAATGTAAGAGAGAATTCCTTCTAAGGACCATGTTATTATCCAGACAATTTCTTTGAAAGAAGGAGAGGCTGGACGAGGTGGCTGACATCTGTAATCCCAGTACTTGAGGTAGGGAGTTGGAGACCAGTCTGGTCAACATAGTGAAACCCCCGTCTCTACTAAACACACAAAAAATAGCCCCGCCTTGTGGTTCATTGTCCCAGCTACTCAGGAGGCTGAGGCTGGAGAACCATCTGAAGCCGGGAGACGCAACTTGCAGTGAACTAAGATCATATCACTACATTCTGGCTGGGTAACAGAGTAAGACCCTGGCTCAGAAAAACAGAAATAACAACAATAATAAAAAATCATATTCCTTTTTAGCTTCAAGTAGTCTCCTTGCTTACAAAAGTATGGTCTACATTAAAACTCTGTCTTAAAAAACAGAAATAAGAAAAAGCCCACATTACTTTTTAACTTTAAGTATCCTTGCTTACAAAATTATGGTCTAAAGACCAGCAGCACTGGAATCACTGGGAAACTTGTTAGAAATCCTGAATTATGGCTGGGCATGGTGGCTCATGCCTGTAATCCCAGCTACTCAGGAGGCTGAGGCAGGAGAATAGCGTGAACCCAGGAGACAGAGGTTGCAGTGAGCCAAGATCACACACTGCACTCCAGCCTGGTGACAGAGCAAGACTCCATCTTAAAAAAAAAAGAAAAGGGCCAGGCGCGGTGGCTCACGCCTGTAATCCCAGCACTTTGGGAGGCCGAGGCGGGGGGATCACGAGGTCAAGAGATCGAGACCATCCTGGGCAACATGGTGAAACCCCGTCTCTACTAAAAATACAAAAAATTAGCTGGGCATGGTGGTGCGTGCCTGTAATCCCAGCTACTCAGGAGGCTGAGGCAGGAGAATTGCTTGAACCCAGGAGACAGAGGTTGCGGTGAGCCGAGATCGCGCCATTGCACTCCAGCCTGGGTAACAACAGCGAAACTCCGTCTCAAAAAAAAAAAAAAAAAGAAAAGAAAAGAAAGAAAAAGAAACAAGGTTTCGCCATGTTGCCTAGGCTGGTCTCAAACTCCTGAGCTCAAGTGATCTGCCCAGCTTGGCCTCTAAGGTATGCACCACTGTGTCTGGCCCCTTTTTTAATTTAATTGAGTATTATCTTTACCTCTTTCATTCTTTTTATTTTTCTTCTTTTTTAGAATCTTAAGATGGAAGCACAGATCAGGGTTTGCCAAACTACTAAATCATGCCCATGATCTTTATGTATTGCCTCCCACCTAAGAATGGCTTTTTACGTTTTTGGTTTGGTTTTTGGTTTTTTTTGAGATGAATCCTCACTCTGTTGCCCAGGCTGGAGTGCAGTGGTGTCTTGGCTCACTGCAACCTCCATCTTTCAGATTCAAGCAACTCTCCTGCCTCAGCCTCCCAAGTAGCTGGGATTAGAGGCACACACCACCATGCTGGCTACTTTTGTATTTTTAGTAGAGAGAGGGTTTCCCTATGTTGATCAGGCTGGTCTCAAACTCCTGATCTCAAGTGATCCACCCACCTTAGCCTCCCAAAGTGCTGGAATTACAGGCGCAAGCAACTGCACCCAGTCTGTTTTTTATATTTTTAAATGGTTGGGGCTGGGGGGAATATGTGACAGACTTATATGACTTTCAAAGCCTCAAATATTTGCTATCTGAACCCTTACAGAAAAAGTCTATCAACTCCTGGTTTAGATGATTGATTTTAAAACTTGTCTTCTTTGTTACAGTAAGTCTTTAATATGAAGATTTTTGCCCATAGCTGCTTAAGATGTATTCCATTAATTTCCATGTTTTTGTTACCATTCACTTCAAATGTTTTCTAAGATTCTTGTGATTTAATCTTTGACACATGGATAATAAAGAAGTGTGCTATTTAATTCCCAAGCATTTGGAGATTTTCTAGTTATCTTATTATTATTGATTACTAATTTCATTACAGTATTGTCAGAGAACAGAATACTCCATAACATTTCCATTAGTTGATATTAAGAGACTT